TGGATACCCCATCCCAAACTTTTTAATTAATAAAACAAGATATCTTTCTATTAGTTATTTCTTAATTATTTCGTTAATATCCTCATTAAAAGACTATTTTACCTCTAAAAAATTAATATTTTTAAATACTCACATAAATAATATTTTATAACATTAAATTTTTTTCTCAAAATAAATAAATTTTATTAATAATGTAAAAAATATTTTTAAATGCAAACATATGAAAAAAAAATTAAAATTATAAATATGCTAATATGTAAATATATGCATAACAAAATAAATATATTAAACATATAACAAATTTAACCAAATCTTTTTTTTCAACCATACCTTTTTTTCTTATTGTATGCTACATGTTCATTTTCTTTGAAATTTATTGCATGTTGAAAAATTGTTACATGTTTAATATATTCATTTTATTATTAATAATTACATATTAACACATTTATAATTATAAATTTTGTTTTTATATATTACACCTAAAAATCTTTTTTATATATTATAATATATTTTTACATTTTTAGAAAAAATAAAGATAATTTATTACAAAAAAATATTACTTTATGTGAGTATTTGAGAATATTAATTTTTCAAGAGTAAAATTGTTTTTTAATGAGATTGTTAATGAAATAATTAAGAGATACATGGTAGAAGGATCTCATTCTCCTATTAATTAAAAAGTTTGAGGTAGAATATCCATTATTAAAGTTAATGGACTTGAGTTGAATTATTTTTAAAACTTAAAGACATGGATAAAAGTTACCTAACAAAATAGTGTATGGTTATTTCACCCCAATTTCTTTTCAATACACCCAAAAAATTATATTACAAATTTAACCTTCAATTAAGTTACTTAAATACCCATTAGTCAATTACTTTTTTATCTTTCACCCCTCATTCCAATTCATTTCCAAAAACTCTTAAAGGTTTTCAAAAATAAATGTTTGGAAGCATTTAACATCTTTCAAAAATGGACTAAATATGAAATCAAACGAAAAAGTGAAAAAAAAAATAAACAATTTACCTTTGATTTTATGCTTTTTAATTTCAAATGGGAGAAATTTCCTTTAAATTTTGCTTGATTGGACTTAAAATTCTTTAAGATTTTCAGTTGGGAAGAGATAGAGGAGATGAGGTGTTTGAGTTTTTTGATAAATTTATTTTTTGGGTGTGGGGTGTGTTGAGTAAAAAATTGGAGGTTAAAAGTAGAGGGATATGTTGTGTAATTGTTGGGGTACTCATAAAATATTATTCTACTTGGTATTGTGTTCAGGTTATTATCTAATGAATGAGATTTATTGTTTTAATTTATCTAATTTTTTATCATTGATAAATAAGTAAACATAAGATGAGAGAATATGTTATGTTTTTTATAGTATAATTTAATTCATTAAACTATAGTCATAATTAATTAGATTTACATTTAATGCATGATTAATGTATGGATTATATATACTATTAATGCATCGGATAATATCACCTCATTAATGTGATGAATCGAATGATGTCATCTTAAAATAAATGTATAAAAATTAATTTTTTTTAAAAAATTTACTCATTAATAATGTAATATTATTTGATTCACTGAGAGTATATAAAATTTATGCACTAATAATACATCAAATATAAACTATAATTAATATAATATCCGTATTATTCCATAAAACTTTATCATAATTTGCTTGGAATGGTTTTCATGTTATTATGAAATGATTTGGATTTTTTATAATATAAAATAATTTTTTATTCTACCTTTAATTTGATCATATATGTAAAACTAAATACTTTTTAAACTCATAAATGTTATATTAACATTGATAATTGATCTGTTAATAAAATGTTAGGCTTTTAATTTTAATAATCAAAATTCAATCTCTCATTATGTCAAGTATAAAAATGTTATATTAAAAATATTCATAGACATAAAATGTTTATAATATTAATAATATTAAGATTAATATGGATAAAATAACACTAATTCTAATTTTATCAAATTATATATTAATTTGTTGGTCATTGCTTTGACTTGTTATTAGTTTTTTTTTCTTAGTGTATATTAGGAATTTATTTAATTATTATAATTATAATTTTAATAATAGATGTTATTTTATTAACAAATTTTAATATATTATTTTTAGATAGGTAAACAAATTCCTAAGATTGGTTCAAAAGCATTTTTTTTTTTTTTGTATAAAAGAAAGGGTAGAAGTATAATCTATACATATATATAAAAGTTATGCCTCGAAAAAATTGTTCAACAACTCATTAATGTTATGAAAACAAATTAAGGGGCAAATTTGAAAAGAAAAATATTAAAGCTTATCTTCTATTTTCCTTCTTCCTATTATTTCGAGAAAATGATTGGACATTGCTTTGTTTCCTTCATATTCTTCTTAAACTTGTTTTCATCATTTCAAACTCTCAACGTTTTTTGCTACTCCATCAAAGGTAACCTTTTTTCATTTATTTTCCTTTCTGAACATGCTTAAAAAGCCAATCTTTCAACGATTAGCCCTAATTTTCAAAATGGGTTGTTTTAGTTTGCACCATATATGGTTTATATAGACCGAAAAAAATAGTGAAGGTTGCATTAGTTTGTTGATCTTTGATTTATGGGGTATATTTTATTTATTTATTAAATATGGGACAAGTTTATTAAGAGCAATATCAGAATTTCTTCACTTTTCTTTTTCATGCCTTTTTTTTTTTCAATGGCTGCTTTTGTGTGAAATAATAATATATATTTTTTGGGTTTTTCATACAGGGTTCCCTCTAGTGAGGAACATCAGTGAACTTCCATAGGATAATTATGGAAAATGAGGTTTATTCCACAAAAATGTTGCCAATTCACTTTTGCAAGGGTTGAAAGAAGTATGTATGCACTTACTCCATTGAAAAACCTACTTCTCGACACTTTGAGATGTTTTTAGTAATACTAATTTTCTTGTATGAAAATGAATATCATATTATAAAAATGTTATAATTAATCATATAAAAATAGCTTAGAAATTTATATGGTTAAAAAAAGCCTTACATAATATACCAACCTTATTCAGATTTAGTTTGTGATGTTTCTTTTAATATATAATATTGCTTTTTGTAAATTTGGCTTTTCAAATTTTCACAAGTAGTTATAAGTTATGCTTTTATATAATACGCAAATTGAAGATGTTGAATCTATTTCTATGTGTTAGATTTGATACATTTTTTGGTGTTCCTTAGGTTGAAGTTTGGTTTCAAACATTTGCTCCAAGATCGTGCACACCAAAGCATAGGTACTTTTGTTAATAAGTTTTTGTTGTTCTCAAAAGGAGTGGCATCTATATCTTGCCTCAAGTTCACATAAGTGCCTTGGAAAACCAGATGAGCACTTTATATTTTCAAATAGCCCATTTCATATCCCTATCAATGATGTTCACCAAGTAAACATTTCTTACATTATAAATGTGATGATGTGAATAAACATAGAAATTTTAAAAAAGAGACGGTTTTGACTTCGGGTCAGCCTTTAATAATATGATGTAGTTTTTTATCACTTTTTAAAAATTGTAAGAAGCTTGAATCAAGAAAACCCAACTATTTAGAAGAAAATCAATAGAGGAAGTTACATACAAAGCTATTAAATTTAAATAAGTTTCATCCACTTCTAGCCATCTATGTGGATGATTGAGAAATTCATCAACAATCCACATGAGCAGGTTGATCTTTACTTTCTTTACTCCTATACTATTTAAAATGTTAATGTGCCTCTTTATAATTGAGTGTCTAACCTTTTTAATGTTGGAAAACATTTTCACTATTGATGCAATATCAATTTGCTAAGTAGTTGCTATTGATTTGGAAGATTATTAAGGTTTTCAATTTAATTAGGTATGTCCACTAAATGCAAGTTTGGATGAAGTTGCATTTTAATAAATGTGTTAACACTCTACTATATTCTTTAGGTTGCTTATTTGGTGACTATAAGAATTACAAAATATTTAGTGAAAAGGAAAGAAAGACACCATGCACACATATAGCACTTGTGTGAATTTCATAAGTTACACACAAATATGACACTTTGATGTAGGTTGTAGATTATATTGTCCTTGCTAATTTATCATTTTGCACCTGCACTCCACTTTCTTAAATCTTTGACTTGCTTAGTTATTTGGTCTAGAGTCTTTGACTTTAGGTGTTATCTTATTGACAATTTTGAAAATGATAATTTAGTATATTAAGAAAAAAAATCCATAAAATATTTTCACGAATCTTTTCAGTAGGTCTCATTTTATTGTTATGTTTGACATTGAACAAAGTTTAAGGTAACACAATCATATTGAATGTTAATGGTTCTTTACGTCAATTTTACAATTTTGATTGTCTACAAGACTAATTCTCATAAATGTTATTGTTCTGTGTGAATTTAAGTTAAAAACTCGATATTGAGAAGCATTTGATGATCGTATCCAAGCTTATGCTTTTGAGAAATCATTTATTAAGTTGAAAAATGTAGAAAGAGAACTTACAGTTAAATTTTTGCATAATTCAAATATAATTATGATACATCACTTTTTTTGGCTGTAAGAGTGACATTGAATTTGTTAAGTGTCTACTGTAAAAGATAATTACTCTCGAAACACTATCATTAATCTATAAAAAAAACTTATATTTGATCGTAAATTGAGTGATAAAATAAAAGTAATTTTTATTAATATAAATATTCAAAATATAAATAATTATACAACTCTTTCTCTCTTATACATTATTCGATATTTAAATTATCAATATATAATTTTAATTTACTTTTATAATTAAATTATAAATATATAATTTTATTTTACTTCTACTGCAAAGCGCAAACTTAAAATCTAATATCTTACAATTTATGACACCATAAAAATAAACATTACTTCTCCAAATTTATGACACATGGGAAAGCAGAGAAATGAAAATGTAACTATAAAAAACAAAGGAAAGATGGAAAAAGAAATGCAAATTGCAATTGCAACCACCACATTCGCTGATAAAACTCGTAGAAGCTTAGGTGAGACCCGAGAAGAGAGGAGAGCGACCCAAAGATGAAAACCCGAAAAAAGGCTTCATTACTGAAATTTGTTATTACCCTAGCTTCAACCCTTTGGACCGATTGGTAGATAGATTTAAATAATAGTAAAATAATAATAAATTAAAAAAAATCCTCAAATTTTCTCTCTCTTCGTATCTCTCCCTCGCAGTTGTATTCTTTTCTTCCGTGTCTTGGCTTCTCAATTTTTCTTTTCTTTTTCTGCTCCCAGTTTTTTGTTTTCTTCTTCATTTGCAGTTTGGCTGAGGTGATTTTGACTTTCCTGGGAAAGCTCGGGGAAATAAGAGAAATGGTTAGAATGACGAAAATGCCACTGAGCTTAACTCCTATGGACCTTCCTGCTCTTGTGTCCGATTGGTGGGACGACATCAATGATTCGACTCAGTGGCAGGATGGCATCTTCTACACTCTTTGCGCCGCTTATGCCCTAGTTTCCTCCGTTGCCCTGGTTATCTTTCTTCCTCTTTTCAATTTTCAAGTTTTTATGCGTTTTTATTTGATTCTCTCAACTGTTCGAACTTTTTTTTTTTGCTTGGATCAGTGATAAGTAGAAGATTTGTTTTGAGTGCTGATTTTTATTTAAATTTTTTAGTTTTAGTAGTTTTTAGTATTTTAGAAGTCAACATGATTTAGTTTGTTTAGCTGTGACATTGTAATAACTGTCAACTTTTCTCCACAATTAATATATTGATTTCTCTTACATAAATGATTGGAGTAAACATTTGATGTTGAATTAAAGCTTTTAAATGTTAAGTTCACTGTAAATTTCATTGTTAATTATTTTGATTTCGAGAAATTTCTTCGTGGTATAATGATCTTAGATTCGTTTGTATGTAATGGGTTGTGTTTGTACTCTGCAGATACAATTAATAAGGATTGAATTGAGAGTGCCTGAATACGGTTGGACGACACAGAAGGTTTTCCATCTTATGAATTTCATTGTTAATGGAGGTGATATTCAAAGTCCTCAGAACATGTATATGTAGTTATTATGTTTAGGATATTCAGTTTGATTATTTGATTGTGAATTTTCTTGTTGTTGCAGTGCGTGCGATTGTTTTCGGGTTTCACAAACAAGTATTTGTATTGCATCCCAAGGTTAGTTTGCTATGGAATCGAGAAATATTGATTCATATACTAAAGTTCTTATTGTGTGACACAATGCTTGCATTGGGTTTTGAATTCAACAAGATTACTTTTTACATTTGGGCATGAAAAGCAAATTTGTTTCACTCTTTCTGCTCCACAATCTAGCTCTCTATTGTTTGAGTTTCTCAGAAAAATTAAGGCTTGTTGGGTAGCACAAGGGAAATAAAGGAGAACGCTATTTTGAGACAAAAATGGAGTATACAACTAACAAGTCATTATGATCCAATTGAGACAAGGCTGTTATACTGACATGAGCTATTACGTCTTGAACTAGGTACTCACATTTGTACTGTCGGATCTTCCAGGCCTTCTGTTTTTCTCCACGTACACTTTACTTGTCCTGTTTTGGGCAGAGATTTATCGTCAGGCAGGTGACTTTTCTTAGTTGTTTTTGTGAAATGATGTGTCAAATTTGTCTGTGATCAATAGACCCGAGTTACAAACTTGTGCACTTGGTTCTTTCTTTTATTTCTGTGAGGAACTATGACATTTTACCTTGCTGCTATGAGCAGGCAAGAAGCTTACCAACGGATAAACTCAGAATTTTTTATATTTCAATCAATGGTGGTATTTACTTTATACAGGTACGCTCCAACTTGAATTCTCTTGTGCTGTTAACTTTGCATATTACCATTATTAATACCAGGTTAATCTCTGAAGGAAATTATTGTATCTGTTTATTTATTACTCTGTCGTGTTTTTATCTCAAAGTTTCCTGCCACTCTTAGCTATGACACATGCTTAATGCTTAAGTGAAGTTAATATGAAGTTTTAACTGCAGGTCTGCATTTGGGTATACCTCTGGATAGATGACAACAGCGTAGTGGAATTCATTGGAAAAATATTTATTGCAGGTAATTGTTATAGTGAATCATCAAAACAAGTTTGACAAGGTTTGTATTTGGATGTTAGTCCTTTTTTGTAATAGAAATTTTATGCATGTTAAGTCTTCTTTTGTTTGACTGTGGCACTTATTTTCATTATTCTTTTCTCCAGTGGTGTCATTTATAGCTGCGTTAGGATTCTTGTTGTTTGGAGGAAGGTAATTGTGGTTTATTAACATAATATATATGGCTGTCGGGATTAGAGTTTGAATTTCTAAACATGCCCTAATCCTACTTACTCAACTCCTTCCAGATTGTTTTTCATGCTAAGATGCTTCCCTATTGAATCAAAAGGAAGAAGGAAGAAGCTTCATGAGGTATTTTCCTTCCTATATAGTTCACCTAGTAAATAACAATTCATTTCCAGTAAAATTCTAACATAGCATAAGTTTAATGTGCATTTCTATGTGCTAAGTCACTGCTAATTGCTTGGTTTTTATACTTGGCATCATTCTGCGGAAATTACTTCAAACGAATTTGGATCTGTTCATGAATTTATTGAGAATATGTTCTTGAATAGAGTACAGCAACACCATATAGCCAGCTGTATGCAGTGGCAAAAGGCTTAGTTTGTTGTTGTAGGACTTTTTCAGCATTTAGTATTGTTTACTTGATGTCTTCCTTTTTTTTTTTTTGGTAGGTTGGATCTGTTACGGCCATTTGTTTCACCTGCTTCCTTATTAGGTGCTTTGTGGTAAGTTTTTCATTTTTTTACCAAACTTTGTGGTAGGTTTTAAAACTATATAATTTATTGGTTGAAGGGAATGTAGCACTTTGAAGTACAACTTATTTGGTATGTCTCTTGCATTTAACTCATACAGCAGTGTCTCTGTTCTCAACAGATGACAATCTATTTCATTATTATATCCTGAGGCAAATTAATAATTGGAATTCTTAAGCATGAATTTAGACATGCAACATCCTTCATATCAGAGAGAACCTCTGTGAGATTTAGTTTGTATAGTATTTTTTTAAATTAAATAAAGTAAAAGACTTAAAGAATCTTTTCCTAGTAAAAACCCATACTTCATGAGTTTATTCCATTTGAATCAAAAGGAAGCTTTAACCTTTCCTGAAGTTTTCCTTTTCTCAACATTCTTGCTAATAATGACTAGAAGAGGCACACAGGAGTTGTAGTTTGCCTCTGGTTAAATACTCCCAGTAATAGCTGAATAGCTGAATGCAAGTCAAAAGTTAGGATTTGCCCTTGGAGAGAGAGGCATGAGCATATGCTTCACCTGAGTTCTCTCTTCCTGGGTTTCATCTTAGATTGTCCTAGCAAGGGAAATTGGTCAAGAAGTTGAATGATAGGAGTAATTTCTGGCTTTTGTAAAATGGTTTACAATGTTAGATGCCAATATTTGACCCAAACAAATTGAGCTTGACAATAGTTCAATAAGCCAACTCTTTTAATCAGCTGTTATATTGTGATGCTGCTTTCTTTATTTGGTCGCTAATATATCCTGCTGCTTTATTTGATTCATTTCTCTATATGCAGGTGGTTTTATCTGCTTTGGATTCAGATGCATCACTTGATGTTTTGGACCATCCAGTTTTGAACTTGATCTATTACATGGTATTTTACAAATCCTTTTTATTTGTAGTATCCGATTTTTCTCACTTTTATTTTCCTAAGCATGCAATTTCTATTGATCAAATTACAGCTGGTTGAGATCCTACCTTCAGCTCTAGTCTTGTATATCCTGCGTAAGCTGCCTCCAAAGAGAATATCTGCCCAATATCATCCTATCCGTTAGCTTGAATGCCTCTTTGTTCTAGGATTGTTTTTTTCCCTAGAAAAAATGGTTTTGGCATGGTTCAAAGGGTTAGTTACTGTTGGAGTTGAGTTAGGGAAGTGGAGCCAGAGAACAGTTCAGAAGTAGAACTGAAACAGCTTATGGCACAGGCAAAATCTTTTACATGTATATGATGTAGCTATTTGCAGCTTTTGTAGGGGGAGATCATTGAATTGATTCCTTCATGGACTATTTGATCGAAGAGTTGGTTAATTAACACTCTTTGTGCATTATCTGTTGACAATTGGAAGAAAGAATTTTTTTCCCTTAGGTTCAATTTAGTAGTTGCTGCATCAGTTTGTTCTTAGAAATTGAACATGATTGCTTGTTATACACACCTGGTCCAAGTGACATCGGTTTGATTTTTTTTCCCATTGGTGGTCATTGTGTTGTTGAGTTTTGTAGCTGCGTTTTTGGGCATTTATTTTAAGGGTAAGTTAAAGGGCATTCTAGACCAACCAAAAGCGCTCAGTCTAGGTATAAATTACAAAATTCCATCCCCAAATCCGCATAGCTTAGCAGCAGCGACATCAAATATACACAGCCAACCTCTAATGCAAAGAAGATATATTGTTCACACTAGCACGTAAGCTTGAACGCTTGAGAAATGGCCAACCACACTTTTTTGGGCCTTTGCTATGTCCAATCAGAGATAAATTCAACCTAAGCTACCCTCCGTTGGTCTCGTCTCCAAAGGACAGATTAATCTCTGTGAAGTTCCTCTGCCGGTGGTGGGGCAAATCTCACATTTGCTGGCCGTGCTACCACTACAGCCTCATCTGCAAAAAACGCTTTAATAAAGGACGGAGTTTTTAGGGGTCTGCGACCAGTCATTCGCGGATATACGTCTTCAAGAAAATAGTATGCATGACCGGCTATCATTCCCTGGTTCAACAAAATATTTAGTAAAGTAACAATGATAAGCAACAAGACCCAAAAGTTAAACATGGCAACAGTGAGGATCTAAAGCATAAGTGAGACAAGAACAGGGGCCAATTTATAGGACCACTGCATAATTATAAGGCAGTCCCACAGTCATTCCTAACAGATGAGACCAAACGACTTACTCCCCCACATTCCTCCCCTTTCCTTTTCCACACTAAATACAACAAGACCTCTCCAGCAGTGATGATATATGATGATTACAGAAAAGCTTAATTACACTAATATAGCTTCTTCACTCAGGTGAACATGCTATTGGATTTCAGAGATATGCAGAAAATTCATACAATAATAATATCCCAATAATTCAACGTTAAAGCGGGCTCTGTGAATGGATACGCACCAGGAGATCCACCCAAGCACTAGCGCCAACAAGGACAGAGAATCCCAAAAGCACCTGGAAGATAGAACGAAAGAAGCCATTACACTCTACAACTAGGAGAAGTAGGATAAAACCCAAAAATGCAAAAAGAAGAATAAAACTTTTTCCCAATCGGAAAATCCACCATAACTACTTTTTCTTTCTTGGTCAAACCCTGTACATGCTTTGAAATAGAAGATACATATTCAACAACAATAAAAAAGGGATGGAATGAATAGAAGCACTCACCCAGGGCAAGTAAGCTGCTGTAAAGGTAAAAAGACCCAGAAAACTCATATGTATAAAGGGATTCTGTTTGCTCCACACATAAACCTACAAGGTTTAGTAAAATAAGATGGATTCCAAAATGGCTACCAGAGAACTTAAACTACTAATAAAACATATTTTGCATGTAAACAAAGGCAGACAAACATACCATCATGAATGTCAATGAATTGCTTAGAAATATGATTTTGGCAAATGACTCTGACAGATAAGGTATCATTCCTCCAATAAGAACAATGCCAGTTAAGACAGAAGCTCCAAACAAGAGCATGTAAAAAAAATCTGCAGTCCTTCCCCTGAAAGAGTTCTCTTCAAGAAGTTTGCAGTAGCGAGCAAGAAAGAACATGTGAAACATGAAATCCAAATCTGGCATTATCAATGGATACCGTGTTAAAGGTGCTAAACAATTTGAGAATATTAGGTTCAATCATATTCTAATATGTCATGTAGACGTGCCTGGATAAGCATAAGCAATACCAATTTTAAAGATGTTTAATGCTATTGGTAGTGTAAATTCAGAAGAAAGTAAAAAAATGGAGGGGGTATGGACTTGATTTTTGTCTTTAACCTCATTTCACTTTTATCTACAATTGCTCTATTCAAGCTTTTAAAAACAACTCAAATACACAACTGAATTTCCATGCTTTTGACTAAAAATTGAAGGGAGACATAAAGGAGCCAACTCTCGCTGTTTCATTAGGAAAATTCTACATCTTGACCAATAACATGGAAAACATATTGCACTGCATCATTCCCAAGGCATAACAAACCAGAGATTTCATGAAATTCAGACATAAAAGCAAATGAAATTTACCCATCTTGCGGAAGTACAAGAAGTTGGTAATGAGGCGCCAGAATTGATACTGCTTAACCACCAGCTTAGGGTTCAAGTACAGATGATAAGGTGATATTATCTGCAAAGAGAAAACTAAATCAGATTAGCATAACAATCCCAAACATGTTCTAATTCTTCTCAAAATCAAGATGGGAAAACCAATCATACCCAATTGCCTATTATACAAAAAAAAATATTTTTTTTTGTTCAGAAAGGAGTAACAAGCTAACGTTGAACTTTTCCTACCCAAATTCCCAACTTTCTCAGGAAAGAAAATTTTGAAACATGAATGATAAACTGAAAAACCAAAGAACAAATCCAATGGAAATCACCGAATTTACAAAGTTGATATAAGCACAACTCAAATCAGCCTAAAACAATCATACCCATTTGCACAAAAACTTAAAAAGCATGCACTTATCATTGAAAATTGAAGAGATAATCACAATCTTATTGCCCAGATTGAGAAAATAACGCCAAAAAAATTAAAAATATATAAAAATAAAAGAAAAATAGGCATACTTCGAGAGAGCAGCCAATAGTGGTAACTACGGCAGCTGTGAGATAAGAGCGGGTGATGATGGGCATTTGCTTATACCATTCTTCAACAGCTTGAGCCATTTTTTTTTTTTTTACAAAAAAAGCTCTTTGTTATTTCTATAATAATAATAAATTTGAGCCAAGATATTTGAAAGGCTAATTCAATAAAATTTTATTTGATTTTTCTGGGTTTTGGGGTTATTGAAGATCGAAACAAAGATCTTCTTGTTGGAAGAACCAAAAGTAAGAAATGTAGGAAGAAATAACATAGAAATTATAACAGACAAGAATTTGGCTTGGTTGTACTTTGTGTTCTGTTTAATGACAAATCCAGGTGAATCAGAGCGCGCGTGGTGGGTACGAACCAATTGGATTCCTTAATAATAACAACAGTGAAATTAATTGATTTTAATATTTGATGAATTGTAGGGGTAGTTCAGCCTATCAATATCCATAAATTATCAACAGAATCAATTTTACGCATGGACATATTTGTTATTTTTCCCCATTTTCATGACTACTTTTTTATTTTCCTTTTTGATAAAATCTTCAGCTTCATCCATTGTTAAAAGATTATTGACAAAATTCACATTTAAACAAAAGAAAATGAGAATTGTTAATAGTTTCCACAAGCTTCTGCTAGCTTCTGCTAGCATGGCTGACAATTTTTCATGCAGAAAACATGAGAATTTTCTTGGCAATTTCCATTCAAAAGTTACATAGGCAATCCCTTTTCATCTCATGTTAAAATCTTAATATTTGATTTTGAGAAGATCAATTAAAATTAATCATAATTTTTCATTTATTATGTTATTTAAAATATGAAATAAATATAAAAATAAGTATGTATTTAATACAGATATATATTTTTAATTTTTTTCATATATTTGAAATTTTTTAATTTGCATACTGACATTTATCACATGTGTCAAACATGAGTATTTTAAAAAAATTTAAACAATTAACATAATTCATTTAAGGTTTTATTAAACAAAAAAATTGAAAATGATAAAAAAAATTAAAAAGAGTACAATTGACTAAAAAAATATACTTTTAGCATTTGATTGGAATCTTGTTGAGAAAAGAAGAAAATTAATTTATTTTTTAAAATATATATAAGTGTGATGCATAAATGTGATTTTATATTTATGACATATATATTATTTTTAAAGATTTATGATAATAATTATGAATATAATAAATAATAATATAAATAATTTCTCTTAAATTACAATACATAAAATTAGATTAAAGATAAAATTAAATTAACAAATATCAATTTTAATATAAGAATTAAATTAATTTAATAGAAATATATGAAACAATTATAATATATCATATATAGATATATATAATATGTTAAAGGGGTTTTGAAATTTCGGGGGCCTTGGCCCCCTCTAGCCCTAACGGTGGTCTGCCATTGCTGGTTATTCAGGAACACAACATTCTAATGCTACACGCTGCTTAAGTTTTAATGGATTCTGACAGAGTTGCTAGGCTCAATTTTTATCAGCATCCCATGACCGAAAACTAGAAATGGATTTCTTGATAGTCTTACAATATTTATGGATAACATTAATAAAAGAAAAGTAAAGTAAAAGAAGGAAAGATATTTTAAAAGAAAAGAAAAGATATATGTATTATTTAATTGAATAGTTAAAATTAATAAAACAAAAGTAAAGTAAAAGAATTTAAGTAATTATTTTTAATTAAATAATGGAAATGAAAAGAAATAATTTATTATATTATTTTTTTATTATAATTTTTGATAATTTTATTTTTATTATAATATTTACATATTTATGTTAACGCATTTCATGTTTTTAATTTTTTTATTTTTTTATAAAAATAATCAATCAATTAAATTTATGAAATTCATAAAAAAAAAGAAAAATAAAGACAATAAATTTATTAATAAATAATATTTTATATTTTCAATCTAATTTTAAAATTTAAAATTATATATTTTTATTTAAAAAATTAATAAAAATATAATAATCATTTTATTTTTCAAATTTTTATTTTTTTCCTTTCCCTTCTTTTTTCTCAATTTGAGATAATTAAAAAATAAAGAAACTTCAGAAAAATCAAGAGTAGCTAATCATGCATTCTTTTTCTTTATTTTATTTAAGGATTTTTCATTTCTTCTTATTTCCTTTCCATTCCTTTCCTTTCTCTCCCCTTACCTCAATCCAAACGTGGTAGTGAATTGTAACCAGGGTTTCAATCCTTGCAAATTCGTTTTGAGGACAAATCCGTGCTCCTCCTCCGAATCCCACAAAACAATAGGGAGGGTCTGATGCTTGTTTCTCAAACGTCTCGGATCAGGGAAAATGCGTTCATTCATGTGTGATCACCTAAAAATTTTCAGAAATTGCATATGGGTTATGGATATTTCAAATACCAAATGACAATCAAAGAACAATATAGTTAAATGGAACCAATATGTGAAAGATAATTTCCATACTTGCCATCATTTTAAGATAGTGTATCCTTTATACTCAATGTCTTTCAGAACTTTCCTGAAAGAACCTAACAGAGGAGGGTTCATCCTTAAAGTCTCCATTGCTACTCTCCATGTGTATTTCATTTTAGCAAAGTCATCCCAAGTTAAAAGTTGATCTTCTGAAGTCTTGGTCTTCTTTATCTCCTCTTGTTCTACAATTTCAAGTTTAATTAGTGGACTGTAAATTCCTTTCTGTCATCAATATGTTTGGAAACTGAATTGTTCGATTACCTCGCATGGTTTTCACATAGACAGATTGATCTGTAGCTAAAAGCCTGACCAAGAAGGTAACGAGAACAGATGATGTGTCGTGTCTTGCTATCATTACACCTATTCCACTATCTATGATTTCCTCGCCGGTTTGTGGAGTTTCCGAGTTCTTTGAATTTTTTGGTGGGATTTATGTTTTCCAGCGACCGGCTTCTGGTAAATTTTCTAGTGGGATTCTAGGTTTTTCTTGGCCGGTCAGTTGGATTTCTATGGGAAACTTAAAGAGAAAGCAAAGACAATTTGGCTAGAGAGAGAAGCCAAAGGGAATTCGGAGAGAACTTTTTTTTTTAATTTATATAGCTGGTCCAAATGAAGCCATTTTGGAGGTAACGGGATCTACATATAACTAGGGGTATAATGGAACGAATCGAGTCGATACAATGAGAAATTTGAACTTGAACTTAGCTTTCAACTCGAGGTTCGATATTCGATTCAAATTCGATTGAGTTTAATTTTTTTAGTTCGAGTTCGATTCGTAATTGAAATTGAACTACTCGAACTCGTTCGATTAAGCTCGATTAATATGTTAAAATAAGTTCGATTCTTATATTCGACAAAAGTTTGATTATTTGTGGTAGAGCTCAAATTTAAATTCGAGATATTTTATTAATTAAAATAATAAAAAAAATTTAAATATAAAAATTTGATTAAGTTCGCAAGCTACTCGAGTTGAGTAAAAGAATATTCGAATTCGGCTCAATTGATAAGTCGAGCTACTCGAGCTCGACTTGATAATAATCGAATCAAATTCGAATTTTATTCGAATCGAACCTGAGTAACTTACGAATACTGATGTATCATTTACACTCCTATGTGTAACCACAGTGAGATTTGTGTGTTTGCCTGTATTTGACCCGATTTGCAGCGTAAGTTTTTTTTTTATTTTGATTTTTTGGGTTTTATTTTAGATTATTTTGATTTTTTTATTTTTCTATTTTTATTTATTATTTTAATTGAGCAAATGAATTAAAGAATGAAAAAAAAAAGGAAAAAATTGGTAAGATTATATTTTTTATTATATGATTTATAATTGCATGATTATTAAATATATTTATTTGTGTGATTCATTAATCATGTTGTTATTAATATATTAGTATCTATTTGCATGATAATTTTTATATGATATAATATATTATTGCATGATATTATTACATGACATTTTAATATTATTGTATGATAATTTATATTAATAGTATGATTATATTATATTTGCATGATTGTAAGAATATTTTTGCATGGTTTATTATGATATTTTTTTATATTTATTGCATGATAACTTTGCATGATTTTTTATAGAATTTTTGTGTAATAACATTGTGTAAATAAAAAAAAGGGATTGAAATTAACTTATTTGGCATGACTTATATGATAAAAATCATTTTTGATAAGGTTTAAGTAATATAATATGTGATTAATTTGGTACTAATTTTAAGTGTAATAGGGTACTAAAATTTTTCTTGCACGTAATTGACTTTAAACTTAATTTTATTAATGTATATTAGAACTTATTCTTTTTAGAGATCTTTAGTTTAAGTTTAAGATAGCTTTAAAAAAATAAATTCACATAATCATACCTAAATTAAAAAAAAAATTGAGGGTAACTACATGATTTTTTATCTAATTGTTGGAATTTCTAACTTAAACATTATGACAAAAACAAAAAATAATAAACTCTTAAAAACTAAATATAAAAGTAAAAAATTGTTACGATAAAACTTTTTAAAAAATAAATTTAGTATCCATCTTCAAATGTAATTTTAAAGTAAAATTGTTAAGAAAACACTTGGAATTATTTTTACCTTTTTTTAATTTTAATTTGTAAAGGAGATAAATGGATTAAATAAGATTTTTAAAATATAAATATTTTAAAAAATTATTACAATAAAAGGATTTAATTTTTAAAATATGTGGAGACAATAATTACCATGCATGTGTCATGATCATCTATATGTAAATATGAGAGAGATGAACCATTTATGACTATGTCATTGGAGCTAAAATCATGAATACACGAATAACTAATGACGTGCCTTGGAAACTAATAAATGTAAAAGACTATTTCAAGTTGAACTTTCTAACGTTTATTCATTATTTTTACTAAAAAAGATTAAAACATACAGTCCCAAAATGTCATGCATTCATGCTTATTTTCAAAAGAGAGGAAAATTTACACAGCCAAACCATACTACTTAAAAGGAAACATTTTAAGTGTAAATTCGTCGGGGATCATACCTCCTTTAAAGCAGCAACCTTATGGTATCAACAATATTACAAAAAATAGTCGACTGGGAATTAGCAGCAAGACTATGGATCCTTTTATTTCGTACTCTCCACAGGTAATTGATCAAGGCATTCCAGGTTAGGCTATGCGTAAAATAATTAAAACCCTTGTGATTGTTACTTTAACATCTATGTTATAATTTTTCCTTGACCAAAAGGACATCTACTTAATGAATTATTCACGAAAAAAAAGTCATTGATAGAAGGAAAAACTAAAGTGACATGTGGAAAATCTCAATAAAAGTCAAAGAGAAGTCAACCTAAGTAAAATTAAAAGTATGAATGAAGGGATTAAAACTCATGAGTGATCATGAGAGAGGGATGGCTGTTCTGTGTGTAGGAAAATTTGGAATATTCTATAGCTCATCCATGTTGGAAGCTAAGCTTAGTGTTTGTTTTATCTTTTTGTTGGTAATGAGTATGGCCCTATCATTTTCCAACCGAATCATTAGCGGTCTTCTTGAGAATTTTTGTGTCCTTAGCATTTGGGAGCCTTCAAACATGGCATTTTCCTGGACGATCTATTTTATGTTTGGTGGCATTTTCGATTAGTACCTAGTTCATATTTTACCACAAACAAACGGCTTGTAAACACGTGTGAAAACTTTTAACGGGCTCCAGTACGTGACTCAAGATCCGGCTCCATCATATTGTTGGTGGCGCTGCTCGCTCCTGATTTCAAATTCAAAATGAGAAACCTCCCTCGACGCTTCCCTCTCTCTGTCTCTCTGGCTCATTCAATTTCCTCTCTTTACAACAAAACCTTTCCCAATAAATTCGCAGAAAACTTAAGTCACTGATCAAATTAAGCCAAAAAGGGTAAGAAAAATGGAGGAAGAGCCTTTTCCTTTGCCGTCTTCTTCTTTCCTTCTCAAAGACATCTCCAACTTTAAAACCCCCAAACGCCCTTCAAAGATTCCCAATTTCCACTCCCCATGCCCTCAATTCTTCACTGCTTCCAAACAAACCCCGAGGTCATCATCGTCATTTCGTCTCCGTTCTCGACCTTCCCTTGCCCCTTCTTCTTCCCGCTCCAAATCCAAAGCCGCCGCCGCCAAGCTCAAAGCCTTCGAGCTCGAGCAATCTCAGTCCGCTCGAAAAGAACAATTCAAGAAAGAACAATCGCTCAAGTCATTGTCCAAATCTCTCACCGTTTGGCTGAATTTCCTCTTCCAGAACCCTAAGTCTTGCGGTTGTGATCTCTCCATCAATGGCAGTGACGATAGTAATCTTGTTCGAGTGGACAGTGCCTGGAGAAGCCCGAAAAGGATGAGAGAGTTGTGGTGGAGAGGGGATGAATCGGAGGAGAACATAGCCGCGGATATTTCGAGCTCAAAGTATTCGACTTTGAGGTCGTCGTTGAAGGAAGTTAGTAGTTTCGATGATTTGAAGCAGCGGATGCGGATTTATTTGAGTCTGGGGAGTTGCAAGGAGATTTTCAATGCCATGACTCAAGTCGTTAAGGTTTGTTTCTCTAAATTTGTTATCTTTTTCTTATTCTCTTTACTTTTCTAAATAGGAAAGATAAACTAGTGATTTTTTTACTAAAAATATAAGTATCTTTTTATTTGCTAGTGTTAGCATTGAAGTCTTATTGTTGTTCTTAATTAATTTTCAGAATATAGATGAAGGGAGATTAAAAATGAAGGCACATTGTCCTATAGTTACAGATGTTGGGATGAAGGAAAAGGCTTCTAAAATTTTAATGTCTTACAACCCAATTTGGCTCCGAATCGGGTTGTATATTATTTTTGGCGGTGATTCCTTGTTATCATCTGATGGAGATATTAGTTCGATGCAAGATATTTCGTTTTTGAAGATGGTAATAGAAAAGCAATTTTTCTCACACACTGGGCTTGCAAAGGCTTATGCTTATAACAAGAAGGTTGAAGGTTTGTACAGACCGGGATACTATGAGAATTTGGGGAAAGTTATATTGAAGAGAATTTTGTTCCTTGTTCTTATCCTTGATCGAGCTAAATCTCAGACTAGTCTTCCTCTTAAGTACGGTATTGATGGAGTGGACGGAGGTTCTCCTCTTCTGTTCATAGTTTCATCTGGTATAAAATCAAGTCGTCAAGTCCTTAATGGTAACTCTATAACTTCCTGCTTCAATATTTTTGTTGCTTAACTTACAGCTACGTGTTTTCTATGTTTGTATGGGCTAATGTTGTCTTCCTTTATGATATGAAACTAGATTTCTTATCATCTGATGTTATGCATGGGGAAGGTAATCTTCTCGCACATCTAGTGATTGTAGGGTACAAAGTTTTTCATCAGCAGGTATGTGGTTTAAATTTAATCCATTTATGTATACTGCTTATGTGCTTGTAGGTGCATATTCATACACCAGTTGTATGTTTTAACACTAATGTATAATCTTACAACTTAATTTTGAGGCACTTTGTGCTGATGATTAGCTCCATACATCACCTGGAAGTACGAATTATAAGCTTGCATCTTTTTTTTCTTCTTTTTGCCATCAAAATATTTACCTTGGTGCAGTCTGCCCTTGTTGAGTTTGACTTCCAAGTATCAGATTTATTTGTGGATCTTCAAGATGGGGTGCGGCTCTGTAGAGTTATTCAACTTTTGCAACATGACCCCTCTATCCTCATGGTTGATATTTCTATCCTATGCCCCTGAAATTAACACATCAGGATCAATTACTTACTATTAAGCAGCGCATTGAATGTAATTTAACCTAGCAGCTTGTTGCATGAGCAGAAAATAGTAGTTCCTTCAGACACCCAGAAGAAGAATTTGGCAAATTGTGGTGTTGCCTTGCAATATTTAAGACAGGCTGGTGTCATGCTATGTGATGAAGATGGATTGAAGATTACAGGAGATGACGTTGCTGATGGAGATAAGGAACTGACTCTATCCTTGCTCTGGAATATATTTGTTCATTTACAGGTATGCTAATCTCCTCTTTGTCTGAAATTTTCAGATGTTGGTGGTTTCTACTGAGTTTTTGCTAGTGTCAATCCTTTAGCTCTGCACTTATGTTTTCATTGAATTTGCAGCTGCCACTTCTGATCAATAAAACAATCGTTGCTGATGAAATAACCAAAATATGTGGCTTTAATATGGTATGCTTCAGACTCTCCTTGAGTTCTTGTGAAAAAGGAGGGCTGCTGAGAATGGGAGCTGGGGGCAGGAAAGGCTGTATAATTGTTTAGTTTTTCTATTCATTACAGAATATAGAAGTACATGTAGGAAGCTATAGCAAGCAGCTAAATACTTAAATACTAGAAAAACTTGCCTAAGTCCTTTTTTATGTTCATTTCTCTCTCTCTCTCTCTCTCTTTTTATCAATGTTTCCTAATGTTCACAAATTCATTTTCATTTTCATTTTTCTCTACTTATTACAGGATAACTTGAATGTAATCAATTCCACTCTTTTGGGAACACTTTTAAATTGGATCCAGGTATGTCTATTATTTCATAACCACATTAGTTTTTCTTCTTCTCCACCTTGTAGATAATTTTTTTGTCTGATATAATTGTTAATCAATAGTTATGTTCAGGGATTTTTCATTTTATGCATGTTTACTTTTTTAAATTTGCATCTTCATGATTAAGACTGCAGTTAATAAGAATATAAATGAATGTTTGTAGGCAATTTGTGAAAAGTATGATCTTAAGATTGACAGCTTTTCTTCACTGGTTAATGGAAAAGCCATATGGTGCTTGCTTGATTATTACTTCCGCAGAGAACTTTCTTGTAGTTGTTCTAAAAAGGTGGTACATGCTCTTTTCTGTGCCAATATTTTCATTCTTTTCTATTATGACTTGTATTATTCTTATATTGTTATGTTTTAACAGGATTCTGATGAAACAAGAGGTGAAGAATCTATCATGTCTGCTACTGATTACACAGATGCAGTTCACAATTTTGTGTTATCACAGAAACTGACAACATTATTGGGAAATTTCCCTGAGGTAATGTCTAGTTTAATGATTATTAGTTGATTATGTACTATTTACTTTAACATTTTTTATTCAAGTTTACCTAAAACTGTTTGATACCTGCTATAAAAGTGAGATTTGAGAGATGCTGCTAATGTTTTAGAAACTTATGGGTGTTTTAAGGCAAAACAGTGTTGAAAGATAAATTGTGGTTTAAATGTTGATTATGCATGTTATTAATTAGACAATGAAGTGTACTCTGTTAACATGTATTTATTTGTCATTACAATATGATTATGTATTACTATTTGCCTACGTTGTTGTACAGGTTCTGCAAATAAGTGACTTACTTGAGCATAATGGTGCAGTTAGTGATCAGAGTGTGGTAGTTTTGCTCGTTTTCCTGTTGTCCCAGTTGGTTGTCAAGAAAAATGTGGTAACTCTTGATCCCAGAAGTCTTTTTGTGAACCATTTGATTGTGCCCTATTAAGCAATCACTGCAAGAACTCTTCTATCTTTTCCCAGGATCAATTAAATTTCCATAAACTATTGGGTTGCAATTGCCAAAAACTAGAGAGAAGGCATTCATCAATTCGAAGACAGTCGGCAAGTTCTGAATCTGTTGTGCACGAGAAGGAAAGAGACATAGATATCACCGAAGGTCCATCTATATTTAGTGGCAGTTCTGTTTTTAGCAAGTTATGTATGTTAGATGGATGTGTTTTATCTTACACAGCTAAATGCGGTTGAATAGTGCACGTCAAATACTGAAAACAATCACACATGCATAAATGCATCAATCTAGGGCTGTATGTGATCACTCTCAGCAAACCTAGCTTCCTAGGACAAAAAACTGGAAAATAAGCTGGTATTGACTGCTGTTCAGACAGAAGATATGCATTTTATTTATAAATTTATTATAGTTTGTATACCTATTTGATCCATTGCATTCATTATAGTATCGGTTTCTGCAAGGGGTACATGCTAATTAATTCAAAAGATGTGTGGACAACTGGTGTTATGGTCTTTTATAGGATAAAATAATCCACCAAACTTTCTCTACAATTCCCTTTTGATAATCATGAAGCCCATTATTGTTCTATGGTCTATATACCTTTTTATTTCATCCTTTTTTATCAATCAATATTATTTTGATTGATCCTTTAATTTTTTTCTAAAACGTGGCTGATAATCCTAGTGATGTACACAGCAATTTCTATTTTCATATCGGGTGTGTATGCGGCATTCTTTTGCCTGTGTATGTATATTTGTATACTTTTTTACTTTTGAGATATGATTACTTTAAGGAAATTATCATGTGAAGTTGCATTTGCTAGTTAACTATATGTTCAAGCCATCAGAACTGAGCACTAACTACTCTTTATTTGCTCCCTCTTACATTTTATTTATTCAGATGCTGCTAAAAAGTTTAAGGCCATTCAGGCTTGGTGGCGAGATATGACAGAACAAAACTACAAAAGTGTTGTAAGACCTGCTGCTCCTATTTCATATTGTTTCACAGCTCAGAAGACAAGCATTGACATTCGAAGAGGTTATTTTCTGCTCTTTCTCTTGTTATTTTTTGGCAATAGTCTTTGTCTTTTCTGCAATGGGTTGATATATTTCAATACTGACTAGGAGTTCAATACCTTTTGGTCTAAAATTTTCTCACTATTAATTAGTTTATGTTTATTTTTAAGCAATTTAATTTTGATTTTTATTTGTTGTTGCCTCATTCCTTTTTTTTTTTGCAAGTTCTCATTGGAAATCTTGTTCACAGCTTGTTGAAATCATATTGGATTTCAACGTGCTGTCATTGTAATAAATGTTTAGATCATATTGGATTTAGAAATGTTTTACTTGACAAATTAATATTTCTTCTAAGGCTTGCTCAAATTTAACTTATTATGGCATCTTTGACCTCTATGGCCTCTCATTGCATTCACCATCAATAGCTTCTCTGTGGAAAGTAATATTCCTTTTCTAACCTTGCAAACCCTCCATAAAGCTTCAGAAAAGGCCGCAATAGTCATACAGTCTCATTTTAGGCGATTGATAGAGCGTTGTAAATTTCTGAAGATGATGAAAGCAATCTGTTTAATGCAAAACATTATACGTGCATGGTTGACTGTGAAGAAAAAGTCAGAACTCAACAAATTCAGTTTTGCCAGAGTTCAGGAGTTTCCATCTGGTATTTGCTCTTATCTAGTGTTTTGGTTATATGCATTTTTCAGATTACCTGTTTCTCATTTCATTTGTTTGATCTTTGCTTTGCCAGAAGAACACAAGCGACTTGTCAAGTTCATTGTTGAGAGACACAGTTTTGTTAATTTAAGAAGATCAGTGTTGCTCATACAGCAAGCTACAAGGATTTGGATAGCTCGAAGACACCATGCATCCGGTCCTGACCAAGTCAAGGCTGCCATTTTCATTCAGAAATGTGTTTGTGGTTGGATGGTAAGGTCAAGACACATTCTTGGACATACTCAAATTGAGAATGCTTCTCTTAAGTGCATTGAGAAGGGTGTAAGAAATAGTGAAATAGAAGCAGCAACCAGGATTCAGATTGCATGGAAGAATTTTGTTTGCAGATCTCTACGCAAACAAACTTATGCTGCAACTAAAATTCAGAGCCATTATCGCAGTTGGCAGTTAAGAAGGAGTTTTATGAAACAAAAGCAAGCAATAACAAAAATTCAAAGTAATTTTCGACAACTGAAATGTTGGAGAGCCTTTCAGATTGCTTGGAAGGAATTTGTCTGTAGATCTCTCCAAAATCAGACATTTGCTGCAACCAAAATTCAGAGTCATTTCCGTTGTTGGCAGTTCAGGAGGAGTTTTATGAAGCAGAAGCAAGCAATAATAAAAATTCAAAGTAATTTTCGACGGCTAAAATGTTTGAGTGCTTTTCACCAATATAAAACTGCCACCAGATCAGCAATTATCATTCAATCTTATGTGCGAGGATGGATAGCTAAGAGAAAAGCTTGGAGATATAGGCATCTTATTGTTATTATCCAAGTAAGTTGTTTCTTCCATCAGTGATCAAATCGTAGTAATTCCTTATATTTTCTTTGCTGCCTTGATCTGATGGTGAAATGATATGATATTTGAAATTCCAGATAATAATCACCCCTGCCTTATATCCATTGCATTCCTTAGCATATATTTCTATTAGATGTTTACTTGCCGCAAATACATAAATCATTGATCTTTTTTTCTTATAAACCAGAGACACTGCCGTGGTTGGCTGGTAAGGAAGGAGCTTTTGTTGCAAAGGCTTGCTGTAATGAAGATCCAAAGAGTGATATGGTGCCTAAAATGTCAGAAAGCATTTCATTTTCAGAAACATGCAGCTATTGAAATTCAACGGTTTATCAGGGGGCAGATTACTAGAAATAAGCTTTTAGGTACTTTCTTTGTTTCCTCTTGAACTTGCACTTATTTGATTACCAAACATTCTCATTTGTATGCTTCAGTTGTGGTTCCAAGTGAAAATTTACAAAAATAGATGGTTTTGAGCAATTGCAGGAGCATCTTCCTTGCATGCTGCTACCACTGGCAGTTGCAATTTTAAGATGTCAGAAGGCTTCTTCTGGAGTTTTGAATTGACATTAGTGATTGCTTCAGTTCTGAAACTGCAAAGGTGGTGGAGAGGTGTTTTGTTACTTAAATTAAGAACAAAATCAGCAATCATTATTCAGAGTCACACACGGGGTTGGATTGCTAGGCAAAAAGCTTATAGAGAGAGGCATTCTATTGTTGCAATACAAGTAAGACATTGAGCTATGCTAACATAGTTGCATTTAATGATGCTTTTTGCAAATGTCTAAAGTTACAAGTTTTCTGCTTGTTAGAATCTGCTTGCACTTAATATTAGCTTGATTTATAGTTGGAGCTATGCTACATTTGGTTAAAATTGTTTGCCAGATCAATCCTCATCCTTTTGCTAGTCTCCTTAATATATGTTTTGAATGTTCAACTTGCACATCTGGCTCAATTTTAAGTATATATATCCTAACTTTATTTTCCTTATAAATTTGGTAGTCATATTGGAAAGGTTATGTTGCTCGGAAAGAATCAAGGGGGCAGCTAATGGATTTGCGCTTGCGAATGCAAAAGTCTGCTATGAATGTGGATGATAGCAAACGTATTATTAACAGGCTTTTGTCAGCACTTTCAGAACTACTGAGCATGAAAAGCATCAGTGGAATTCTTCACAACTGTGAGACCTTGGGTGAGCATGCTGTATTCTACAGAGCTCATGCTTCTTGTTATTCTCATGCCTTAGAAACAGTGATAGCTTGCTAAATTTTCGGATTCTTTATTATGCCTATATGCATAATTTCTTGAATGATACAAAATTCTGCTGCATTTTGTCAGTTGTCTTACGTAAGTCATGGCAATGAAAATGTTCATATTTCATGGTCTGTCATGGACTATGCAGTTAAATAGATTCACATGTTTTGAGAATTCAAACAAAATTTAGCTTGTACTATTATCTTTGCATAAGCTTACTGTATCATGGAGTAGAGCACAGCGGCATAATGTGATCCATATAAAGGACCCCTAGTACTGAACAAAGGCTAGTGTGAGGAGATAAAATGACATTGAATCTACATACTTACGAAAACACTTAATTGCAGATATGGCTACAACCCATTCTCTGAAATGCTGTGAAGAACTTGTGGCTGCGGGTGCAATTGGCATTCTACTGAAGCAGATTCGCTCAGCCAGTCGGAGCATACCTGATCAGCAGGTTCTAAAGCATGCGCTCTCAACACTCAGAAACCTTGCCCGTTATCCACATTTGACAGAAGTGCTAATCGACACTCCTGGATCTGTAGAGATAATCTTATGGGAGTTGCACAGGTTTTCTGTTTTTCTACTTTATTAGAAGTCAAGATAATGGTACATGTTATTTTGTTTAGGACTTGGTTATATTTTCTCAAAAACTTATTCCAGGAACAAGGAAGAAGGATACTTTATTGCTTCCGAGATATTGAAGAAGATATGTTCAAATCAGAAAGGTGTGAAAGTTGTACACAAGTTTCCTGCTCTTCTGAAGAGACTGCACAATCTTGTTGAAGAACTGACGAGGAAAGCAAACATTGAAAAAAGGTTGGATTTTGGCTACGAAAGCTTATTCCCTTTAGAATATTACTTTTGTTGAAATAAATTGTAATGTGTAGTGATTTATGACCCAACAACTTTGTTCCTCATCCTACAGGAATCCCCGTGCTGTTTCCGTAAGGGAGAACACAGATAGAAGATTGAAGGAGGCTGTGGAACTTCTTAAACTGATAACAAATGGTTATTGAATCCAGCAATCACCTATCTGTTTGCAATGTGAAGAAGTTTTATGCTTGCTAGGGTTAATGCTGTTTATGTCCATATCTAGTGTCTCTGATGTGTTTGATATATTGAGTTTTTGAAATCTTGAACATCTGATGGTGCATGATTTGTGCACGGTTGTGTACTTAACTAATTCAGATGCAATTGTTTGAAATTAAGGCTTGACAAATAGTCACCCCAAGAAATGAGCGAGATGCACAGAATCTAAAGCCCCAAGCAAGATATCCACAGATGTTGTACTTTCTCAGCAGGTTCCTGTAATCCTCTTATACAGAATTTGGATCCTCTTATACAGGTTCCTGTAATCCTCTTACATAAACCAATGTCAGGAATTTGGATCTATCGAGTTGGTGGTGCCTATCATTTGCTATTTTGGTCTTTTTATTTAAAGCAATTTCCGACTAATAAAATTAAACAATCTGCTTTTTATTGAAGTGCTTGACGTATAGCCTGCGGCAGCACAGCCCATTAGACGACGTTCCCCTGGCTGGATCTGTCCGATTAAATTCAATTGCTTCAGGCCCAGGGATAAATCTTACGCGAATCCAGAATACAGAAGATATTCTTGCCAACAAAGCCTAAACAAGTTGCTTGTTTTATTCATTTTTTAGGATATGCAAGTTGCAACGTTGCTAAGAACGAAGTTTTGTTTATTGGGAAAAGCAAGCTGCAGCCTGCAATCACGTATTCTAATTATTCATCGATTTTTTCATATAGATTTTTTTGTTTAAATTATTAAATTAATTATTAGTTGGAAAAAGTTTGTATGGTGCTGGTAGCCCCTGGTCTCCATGGCTGCTGGGCAAATGAGGTTTGTCAGTCTTGCGAGAGATTCAGATGGAGTGGCGCTGTTTGCACCCAACTTTTTCTCTTCGTATCGCATTATTATTAATATTGAATTTTTTATTTAATATATTTCAAATTTAAAACATAAATTTATCAAAATTTCAAAAACTTCATCTTCTCACATTTTTTTTTTCAACCGAAAATTTAAAATTAAGCTCTAATCAAGTTAAATTCAAAAAAAAAAAAATACTTATTTAAAATTAAAAAGTATAAAATCAAAGCAAATTGTTTATTCTTTTTAGTTTTTTATTTAATTTTAAGTTTAATTTAATAAGATTTCATGTTAAAATATTTAAATGTAATTTAAATTTTAAAAAATAAATTTTAAAAAATTTTAAATTTTTTTTAAAATAGTTGTATGGAAACTTTTAAAAAATTTTGAAAATTCAATGTTTTTGAAAATAATTGTCTAAATGTTTTTAAAAATTTTTTAAAAAAATTTCAAAATGAGATATAAAAAATAAAAAAATAATTGATTAATAAGTATTTAAGTAATTTTATTAAATATCAAAATTTTGGAGTGTATCAAAAAACAAAAAATTGAGATGAACAGCGCTCTTTTAATTTCTACATTTCCACCGAAAAATATCTAACCAACCGCTTCATGTTTGGATGTTTGGATTTATGCTTGTACCAAAGGGAGGACTTGCTTCGACTTAGCAAGCAAAATTTGTACAGCAAACAAGTCCTGGTAGTTTTGCTCTCCCCAACATGTTGGCAGTTAAAGCCTGTTTGGTTGTCAGAATGGGAATATCCCACCCTATTTCTTGCCGCCTGGCTTCAACTCTTTCTTTCAAGTCTCAAATTGGAGGACAAGTTATCAATTCTTTCTTACAACTCTTCTGTAATTTTGATGCAATTTTTGACCAACAAACAGAGAAGAGATAGAATTTGGAAAAGAGAAAAAGTGTCAATGTCATGTGGGCAAATTGCTTCTCTTTCCTAACAGATCACAGGAAGAGTTTTCTTTGTCTGTTCAACCTGAATGTTTGTTTCCCAGGGAAATTTTAAAAAATTTAGATTACAGCCATAGTACGTACCAAATTCAATCTTTCTTATTTGGAATCATCCTTTTGTACAACAAATTCCCCAGGTTCAATTTCGAAACCAATCACACCCCACAAATAGGCTTATGATTTAATAGCAATGAATCATTGATTAGAACCTAGTAGCTAGCTAATCAGGTATAATCTAATTTCCAATTCAGGCAGCCCTGGCAACAACTTCAAGCTTCTCAGGCACATCTGAAGGGTCATTATAGAAACCACTCCTCCTGAAAGACCTTGGCAGTTGGCACTGTAACTGTCAAGACCCCATCTTCATATCTAGCTGATATTCCATCAAGATCTATCATTCCAGGGAGCCGGAATTTCCTCATGAAGTTCCTGGCTGGCTTTGTTGATTCATCGATTGCCTCGGTCCTAATTATAAGATATCTTGAGTCCTCAACTTCCACTCTTATCTCCTCCTTTCTCACACCTAATATAACAAGCATGACACGAAACTAACTTTTAGTACGTAACAAGGTAAAGGAAATGATAACAAAAAAAAATGAAAGTTTTTGTGCTTGATAGTTACCAGGAAGATCAGCAGAGTAAACGTGAGACTCTGGGTTTTCTGTCCAATGAACGTGGTTTTCCGGAATAAGCTGGTTGGAGAAAAGGGCAGGAGATGTAAGGAGATAATGCCAGGGAGAGAGTTGGTATGATGGGAAGGCGAACTGCATTACTAGTTAGAGGAACTTTTTTTGGCTGCCTTTGGATTTTGGGTTGGCAAGGGAATAACTTACCTTTTATAGGCCACACAAGTAGGCAAATTGAGGTCATGGGGCTTTAATTAGGACGTCATTTGCTATTCAAAGATTCAAACTTTACGGGACGTTCAGGAATTTGATTAATTAAACCATGGCTCGTAATGAATCTCAAGATTTGATTGTGATTTGAGGTGCTAATAGAAAAGGGTTGCCTTTGAAACTACAGCTTTGACCTTGAATGGCATCTGAAAATGAAACATTCGTTTCACCTTACTGCGCATAATAGAACTCCGATTTTGCAAGGGATGAAGTGAACTCCACTATTAACTATTTGTTATAAAATCGTCAAATGAAGTTATAGAAGTATGCAGGTCCACGTCAGCATTGCCATTGGACATTATGCAGGTATAAAATCCAGTAATTGATCCTCTTCATGTTGCGGGATGAAAAAGGAGACAAAAAATGGAAAGAAGAACAGAGGCAAGTGGTTGCGATTTCTGATGGTTTTCCAGATCAACAGCTAAACGCAGCAAGAATTTCAGCGTAAAATAGAATTTAGCTTCAAGTGCGCACATATTTGCTACTGCTAATTTTTCAATAGACTCAGATGCTTTAGAAACAGTTCTATAATTTCAGTAAAAAGAAACACAAAATATTAATGTCAATGCAACATGAGTAATGACATGCACCACCAAGGCAAAAACTAAAGAGAATGCACATCTAGTAGCATCACAGTCAGAGAAGGAACATAAAGCTTGCTCTCAGCCCTTGTATTCATCAATCAGAAATAACAGAATAACCATAAAGTTTACATCAACTAGTTTTATTCAACTCAATGAAAGAAACAGGTTACGTTACAGTAAAATTTTCATCGGTACATTGTCTATAAGCCAATACCTTATCAGTAGGTCAAGCCATCAGCAGTGTACAATATCTGCTGGTAAAAATAAAATCATGAAAAACTGAGGTTTCATTATCCAGTAATGTCTGAATCTAAGTCAAGTGTTTACCCCCAGTACAAATCCATTGCTGTAAGAAGGAAGATTGCTGGAAAAATCCTGATTCTTCACGGGGGAACGGAAGGGGTTTGGTGTCACAGGATGGGTGATGTGCAGTCCAGCACCACGTAGAACCTGTTTAGCATTTGCACACAAAATTTCTGACTGCTCAGTGAAGAAGGCTGGAACGCCCATGGCTTTGATCAAATCAAGAGCACCACCCCAACTGGTGTACCTATCCAATACACAGTTCAATGCAACTATAACATGGGGGGAAGGCAAGTAGGTGGCTTCTTCCTGATAAACACCCCTAACAAGATTCACCCTAACTCTGCTACTTATTCCTGATGTCGTGCCTGACAAGCTCGTTGGAACTTCAGGTCCCACCATAACTATTTGTATATTACCCAACCCATTTAGTAAGTGACTGATCTCAGCAAATGCTGGCATCCAGTCCATCTCTCCTTCAGGCCCCAGGTAGTGAAGAATCACCTCCTTACCTTTGAGTAAAAGATTCTTTGAACTGATACTGAGAGCCGTCAATATATAATAAACCGTCAAAGGGTGGGAAAGAATATCAGCAACAGGGCTTGACAGTGGCAGTGATCGAAGGTTATAATACTCGGACCAACCAGAAAGAAGGATAGGGCTTGAGATCCCATCTCTTAGATGATTGTGAAAAGGTGAATCACGAGGGTACTCTTCATCATCTAGCCCACCCCATGAATCCCATAGCCCACCTTTAACTGGAAGGAGACCATAAGGGCAGTGAGAATAGCAACTGCACTTCCTTCTCCACATCCCTTTCTGATGGATACCCAATGATTCAAGCCATTTACAAGGATGGTCAGCAGAGCAAGGGAACATGAATATTTTCATTACAAGCTCTTCCTCCCTTTCCATCATAGCTCTGTACAGACCACACATGCTTTTATGTGATTCCTTCCAGTGCTGCTTTTGGCAGAGAGAACCACAGTAGACCACTGCTTGACATCGCCCGCAGCAGAGAGATTGATCTCCATTAACTTCTTTCTCACACATTGCACACTGCCTTGAGCTTGAATTTGAGTTTACCCTTATATCCATAAAGTTGGCCTCATCTGGTGGCTCTGCATACTTGGTGGGTGTTGAGCTGGCTGTTGAACTAGTCTTTTCCTCATATGCCTGACCAGGTGGATGTGAGATTGTAACTGCAACAAGTTCATGACCTCTAGCCATTTCTGGAGGCCACTGAATGTCAACTGTCTCAATAAATGGGTCAAAACATATCAATCTAGACCAGTTTGGACCACCTTCTTTATCCACCTGAAGCAATGGGTGCACCAGGGAAATGGCTCTCATGAAAGCATACACGAACTTTAGCTCTTCCACAGTAGGATTCCTAAACCGAAGCTCACCTGAAGATGTGCAGCGTGCAACATCAACAACAGGAAACCGATCATTCCCTGATGCTTCCAATGACAATGACTTGATCATTTTGCGGTTGGAAGGAAACATTAATGTCTCAAGCTCATATGTGACCCTCAGAAGCTCAACATTTGGAACTCGAATTGTCTCCCTTGAGCCTGTCATCTTCTTAGCATCATTTTCAGATCGAAACATATAAAACCCAATATCCCCACCATCTCCGCCAATAAACTGGGAGCATGGAAAAGGCTGTTTTTTGGCAGACCAATCTGAATCTTTCCCAACTCGGACACCAAAGAAATGTCCTGGGCGCAATCTTCTCCAAGGTTCAGTTCTATATAGAGCTGCAGATGCTTTGAATAGGGACTTTATAAAATTAGAAGAAATGCCTTCTACCTTCATAAGGCATGTCCCTGATCCAGGACCGAGGCCAGGACCAGAACCAAATTGCTCCTGGAATCTATCAAACAGGTTCTTCAAATGGAAATCCATTCAAACCCGTGGTATTAGATCTAATCAAATCCTTGATGATTCCTTTTAGTTAACGAGACAGAAGACAACAATTCCAATTCCAAAATGAAACCAATCAAAATCTGTCAAAAGATCTCACAAGATTATCACTTAGCCCAGAATTTTCTCCAAGATAAAAACTTTAAACTTCAATAAATAACAGCACTCGCGCAAGTAATTGCTCTACACACTAAAACTTCTTAAAATGTAGAAATAAAAGAAAACTATGATTACCAGGTCATATGAAAGAATCGGAACCAGTTACTCACCTAAACTTGGAAGATAAAAGGCTAAAACTTCATTCCATGTTTCAGCTGAACTTTTAGAATTCTCCTTTCAACAATCAGATTCAAAAGAGTGAAAGCTAGCAAGATCCGTTGCCTTTTAAGACACTGAAGAATAAGAGCAAGTACACCAGACAGACACGGCCCAGTAACAAAGGAAGCTGATTTACACCAATTAAAAAATTACTTTTTTTTAAAAAAAGTTGCCCTGTTTTGTAATTGTATGTCATCACTTATCCATTTAACCCAAATTAACCCAATTTTAAGTGTTTTTTTAAAACAAAAGGGTTGATTTTTAGTGGCTCAATCAACGATTAAATTTAAAACACGGGTTCGGGTCCATAAAATTGAAAAATTATCAAACTATCCCAGACCTTTACCTGTTTAAACCGATGAGAACCAAACCTATTTCAGTCATTTTATCAAACATCATCTTACGTTGCCATTCTTTATAAATGATTTTCCTTTTCCCCAATTCTTTCTTCCTCTCTTTAACATCTCCCAAACCTGATCTAGGGTTAGGGTTAGGGTTTCGCTCTCGCTCAGCCTCTCCAACCCCAGATTACCAAAACCAAGATTTAAGATGATGCAGCAACCAGCAACCGGCGTGGTCCCGCCCCCCATGGCTCCACCACCATCGATGGCGGCGGCTCCACATACCCATCAACAGTACCAATACCAACAACCGCCTCCACCTCAGTCGCAGCAACATTACATGATGATGAACATGATGCAGCCTCAGAGCCAGCCTCCTCCCATGTGGCCCCCGCAGCAAGGTTCGGCTGGGGTGCCAGCTCAGCAACAGCAAACGGGTCAACCCGCTAGCGCCGAAGAGGTTCGGACTTTGTGGATTGGAGATTTGCAGTATTATATGGATGAGAATTATCTCTTGAGCTGTTTTGCCCAAACCGGAGAGGTATTCAACGGCTTTTACTTATTGTTGAGATTTTGTTTTCTGGGTCGTTTTATTTGGTGGGGGTTTATTTTGATGTTGTTATTTTGGTTTCTCTGGTAAGTTTCGTGTTGATTCACGTTCTATTTTTCTGGTCAAAATCTATATGCATAAAAATAGTATTGTGGGTTTTTTTTTTATTTAAAGGGTTTATATTTCTTTCTTCTACTCATTGGTGTCCTGATGTAAAAGTGATATGTTTTGGGTCTTTGACGTCATGTTCTGTTTTTTATTGTATTGAAGGGCTTTAACTAGGTTGCTGTTCTTTGCTTAGACTAGCAAGCATTTAGATTTGAAACAATATGTATGTCTGCGTAATTCAAAACAGAGGTCTTATGGTCTTGTTTCTGTCGCAGGTTACTTCTGTGAAAGTTATCCGTAACAAGCAAACAGGTCAAGTGGAGGGCTATGGGTTTATTGAGTTTGTTTCACGAGCTGCCGCTGAGAGAGTTTTACAAACTTACAATGGTACACCTATGCCGAATGTTGAGAGCAACTATAGGTTGAACTGGGCATCCTTTAGTTCAGGCGAGAGGCGAGATGAAACCCCCGACTTTACAATCTTTGTTGGAGACTTGGCTGCTGATGTTACAGATTACATGCTTCAAGAGACTTTTAGGTCAAGCTTTCCATCTGTGAAGGGTGCAAAGGTTGTAATTGATAGGCTCACTGGACGCTCAAAAGGTTATGGGTTTGTTAGGTTTGGAGATGAAAATGAACATAACCGTGCTATGTCCGAGATGAATGGTGTTTTTTGTTCAACTAGGCCAATGCGGGTAGGACCGGCTACTAACAAGAAGACTGTTGCTGTGCAGCAATATCCAAAAGGTATGTTTGCTGATGGTTATTTGTTTTACCCAAGCCTTTTGGGATATTTTGATTTGTCTTAGCCGCATTAAAAGAATAGCATATATATTTGAATTTGACTATATTTTTTTATTCATCTGGTGCAGTTTTATGTCAGTTTTTGTTTGTTTCAATGTATGTAATGTGGATTTTGTGTCCTTTAAATTTGATATTGATATTTATGAATTATCTGTTTGGAAGGGCAAGGTTGGTTGGACAAATTTCTAAACTACTTTTTGTGTGATTTACTTTATATTATTTAAAGTTCTCTTTCTTTCTGTTATTCTCTAGAAGTTGAGCAGCAGTTTCCACAAGTCATTTCCTTCCTGTACTTTCCTTTAACATTTGGGCACCATAATGCTATTCAAATCTTGAAACTTGTAAAAGCTTATAAACGCCTATTGTCTCAGAGCAGGGTTTCAGGAGGCTCTATCATCTTGGGGCCTGGAACTGATTTCAGCTGAAATGGTTATCCCTTAGTCCGTGCCCTCGTTTAGGTCAGTTTTTGTGTTTATGTCTCGTCCGTTTTTTGAGATTTATGTGGCATCTGTTATGCTACATTTTCAAAGTTAATTTCAGTTCTATTGGTTGAGCTGTCAGTCAACTTTCTTTTACTTCTCTGGTTATTCAGAGATTTCAGTCAAGTTACATTTCAGTTTACCTTTAGAGCCTTTTGCTCCTTCAATTTTACAAAATAATGGCATTTGTAATTTCTTATGTGCTGTTACCTTGTGCCTTTACACTTTAGCTTGATCTTATTGTTTAGTTCTGCGGCTCCTGATGTCAATTTTTGGTTATTGTTCTAGAGTTTTAGGTCGTGTACTTAAAGATTTTAGTCAGTGAGAGCTCAGACTGTGCTTTAGCTCTGTCAAAAGCATGGATATCCTTTTTTATTTTACTTTTGTGGTTAGTGCTTGCCAGGTACTTAGTTTAATTGTTCTACCAGCACTTTTTTTGCTTCATTTCCCTTTTTATCCCAAATGCTTTACTCAAAATTGTAATTGTTGGTCTTTGCTGATTTTAACATGTTATATCTTGACATGTATTTAAAGTTTTTGTTGGCATAATTCATTATCTCAAATAATTCGTAATGATTACTCTCTCTCTCAAACAATTCTTGGTTACTAATTCATCATTCATGTGTATGGTTTTACATTTTGAGCATATGCAGCCTGGCAGTGAAAGTCCGACCCTAGTGTTCATACATTGGAATTGTGCTATATATTCAGTGTTTTATTGTATATCCAATACTTACTTTTTTATGTGCTTCTACAATCATGTATCTATGAATCAGGCACCTTGATTTTGTACATATTATTCAAATAGGTGACACATTTTAATGTTAGATGTTTTTTCTCCTTAACATTTAAGGGATCCCCTGGAGGTGAGAAGTACAAGATTCATGGAATGGATCCTGTCTATGCACTGTCGTGTTTTCTCATTGTTTCTTGGAAATAATATTCCCTTTTTATTGTCCTTTTGTGACACATTTATTTTTCATGTGCAGCATCATCTCAAGGGACTCAGAACGAGAATGATCCAAATAACACAACTGTGGGTACTTTGTTCACTTTCAATGAGAAGCATAGTTTCTTGCATGTGTTTTTGATTTTACATATTTCCATGCAGATATTTGTTGGTAATTTGGATTCTAATATAACGGATGACCATTTGAGAGAGGTTTTCGGCCCATATGGTCAGTTGGTGCATGTGAAGATACCACAAAACAAGCGATGTGGATTTGTTCAATTTGCTGATAGGTAGAGTTACACTGCTCAATAGTTCTGAGATCTGTTAATGAGAGATATATAGTTAATGTAATTGTTTTGTCCTGTGCTTGTGCAATGCATCAGGAGCTGTGCAGAAGAAGCACTGCGAATGCTAAATGGGACTCAGTTGGGTGGACAAAGTATTCGGCTTTCATGGGGCCGTAGCACATCAAACAAACAGGTGGGTTAGATATTTTTATGCTGGTTGCTTTTTCTTGATAATTCTATTCACCCTTGGGTTTGATCCATAACTTTGACATGTCCTGCATTGCAGGCCCAAGCAGATCCAAACCAGTGGAATGGTGGATATTATGGGTATGGTCAAGGATATGATTATGGCTATGGTGCTGCCCCCCAAGACCCCAACATGTACTATGGAGGATATCCTGGGTATGGAAATTATCAACAAACTCAGCAGCAGCAACAAGTGGGATATAGTTAAAGTGATACTTTTTTTTAAAAAAAAATTTTATGGCTGCATCTCTATTTACTAGTATGGTGAACTTATGCTACTTGATCTCTCCTTGTTTCTCTTTGGGGGGAATAAATTCAGGCTGTGTTATTCTCTGCTAATAGCATAGCACTCTATAAACCTCCTTTATTATAAAATTTGGTACTTCTTGGCGTTCAGCTTTTATCAGATGGTTTTACTTTTGTTACGCGTGTAACGTGCTGTTGGGATTGGGGAATTTTATTCTCAGGAAATGGTTGCAACATCATTGATGAGTAAATCAGTGTCATGGCGGTATCACAGGCAGCATTTGCTGGAATTAAGACTCTGGACAGGGGGTGACAACTTTAGTGCAAACCATGCGCCCCCATTCATTAGAAGCCATTGGACCTGTGGTTTTATTTGCAATCATTGATTAAGAGCATTTAATCATGAACATTAAGATGGAAACTGGTAAGGCTACAGAAATACTGGTTTTGCTAGTCGGAAACCCATTCTGAAATCAATTAGAGGACTTTCGCTGATAAGGTTGCCGCATCAGGAGTACATTTAATCATGTTATATGTTCCACGAGAATCGCAATTTTCTGCCCAACACGGATGCAGAGTGCTATAGATTTGATGATTTTTCCTCGTTTCATCCACTAGTACGAGAAAAACCATTAATTTCCAAATTTCAATCACTGAAGGCAGGGCCAATATTAGTATTCGACCATGACCGACTCAAAACAGCAATCGTGTTTTTACTAGCAAAAAAATGGCCTAACATAAATTATAGTGCGGAATCAGTATCCTTGAGGCAAACCAAAATTTCGAACATGAAGGTAACAAGAAGAAAGGACCTTGGAATACTTGGGATTAAAGACAAAATGCTACATTGTACAAACTTAAGCAATTACATAAGAACTTTTGGATACATAGGATTAAAGACATTTAAAGCCAATAAAACGAATGGTGGATTTCACAAGGCAGTAACTTCAATCTGGTTTCTTCAAGTTCAGACAATTATCTGCTGCTTGACTGAATAACTCCTGAACCTGTTTCAATTCCTTCTCTGGCACCAAAACACGGAAAAAGCATACATATTGTTAGAATTTTCTTCATTTCAATTTCATTTTCCCAAGCTACAGTCTAGATCCCTAGTTTAAATAGGGAAACTTAATTCTTTAGGTTATACGCTTAACTTCCAGACAGGTATATTGAAAACAATACATATACTAGTAGTTGACAGAGAACTAAAATTTCAAAAGAAACAGGTATGAGATAGGCATGAAGCAAACATCCTATGTCTTGCATACAACACAAATGGCCAGAATCGACGCATACTTGGCAAATATTCTATGGTTGTCCAATCTTGCCCAAAAATATCTTGAGAGTAAGCAGACTAGGACTTCAAAATCTACACCTACTGATTAGTCTTTTGGTAATTATTTTCCTTTTCTCTATATTCATTAAGGGGGGAGGAACTTGAGAGAAAAGTCACTCTGATATTATCTCTTTGAAACATGGAAGACAACAAATGTATCAACCAACCAAAAGGATGGTAAAATGTACCCGCAGCCTCCAGTTGCTTCTGAAGTTCTTGGCCCACAGCATCATTTTCAGCCTGGGCAACAGGTACAACGAAGAAAAAGAAGAAGACAATTCAAAAAGAAGTCCTGACATGTAATTCAAAACGAAAAACAGTAATGAGTAAACTAGTCGAGTTCCTATATACCTGGAGTTCAGCAATCCTTCTGAGTTGAGCTTCTTCACCTCCCTCGGATGATGGAAGTGCCGCGACCAATGCATCGAACTGTGAAAGTAGTAATAATAATTATTAACATCCCACAAAAGGCCTAGAAACACCATGAACTCATTGATTCAATCATAAATTGGTTTTAAAAAAAAGATATATTTAAAGCAATTTTCGGAAAAGTTAATCATCCACCTGTTTAGCAGCCTTAACAAGAGCAGCACTCATAAGCTTAGGTTGGTCGGCGAAATTCGCTGTGTCCTCCGTGGGATTAGCAGGGGGTTCTGGGTAATTTGGGGAAAGTCTGACAGGTGGAGCATCTCGTTGCAATGTCCCAAAAGTGTTGAAGGCTAGGGCAGCTATTGAATTCACTTGTTCTTGTAATTGGGAGATTATATCCATCTTCAAAAAACCAAACACAACCCAAATCTCGCAGAACAAATCGAACAAAGAAGAGACAACGAAAAGATGTGCAAAACCCAATCGGACAACAAATATTCTGACAAATCTTTTTGTTAGAAGTAACCCACAGCCTGTGATGCCGAATGGAATGAGTGATCCCAGCCAAGCCAAGGAATCAACGCGAAGCAGGTAGGGCAAAGCAGGATTCATATGGGCCTAAAGGGGTTTTGGGTTTCATAAATTTGAGCCGTTTGAAAAGAATTTATCTGGAAGGCATTTAGGCCTATATTCAGTCCATCCTTAATTAAACCCAGTTTCTGGCCTTGGCCCATGAACTATCAGTTCAAAGAAAGCAGAGGGGTTGATTGAAAAGTCCCAAACAATTCCGAACCCCATGCCAAGGATATAGTTTTCAGTTTGAATACGTCTTTGAACAAAATTTTTGTTTGATAAAAGAAAAGGGCCCATTTATTTCAGTCAGATTTGAAATTTATAGCATCATTGCGATTTAATCATTGTCTGTTGTCTCTTACTGCTCTAACTTAAGTTTTTAATGATTGCAATAATAATAAAGTTTCAGTTAATATTTGAACATTCACATCATTAATAAATAAAATTAAAAGTAAGCATACCTTTAAAATAAATATAATTAATTTTATTTTGGTTTAATTAATTAATAAAATAAATAAATACCTAACTTTTGAAACATGTCCCTTTTCAGTTTGTAGAAGCCAAGCATGTCCTTTTACACTTACGCATGGCGCTAGTAAACCTCAAGAGAAACCCATGTGATTTCAAAGTTTCCCAGAGTATAGAGAATTTTACATAATTTGATCAGAGATTTTCCTTCTAATTGAGGTTTGGTTGCTAATTTTTTGTAATCTTAACTACCACATAACAGAATATGACATTCTGTCTTCGTTTTTCTATTTTATGAGAAAAAGAAAAAAGGTCAATCATGAAAGCACGCACACAATGCTACCAAAGCGTGCGAGAAATCTTCAGCACAAAGCATGAGAATGCACTAGAAATGAAGTCAGAAGGTAAAGGTTGATTGCAAAGAGTACACGTTACAAATAATCCAAATTAGAGACAAAGAGTACCAAATTAAGCATTTGCCTTAAAACTCTAAACAATTCTCAGTCATGACTTATGCTAGTCATCCTTCAAGCCTTAGACTTTGAAGGCTCCTTCTATTCACGCCTCTAGTTTCACAACTCAGAAAACTAATACTGTCCTGGTGGAATGGCATCTTTGGCATTAGCATCCACACTGTTGTTGTTGGCAGCCATTAAGGAACTATTAACTTCAGGTACAACCATTCTTGGAAGAACATGTTCTTCAGCAGCAGGCTTGGGTTCAGATGGAATAGTTTCGGCCCCAAATATCATTATCGGTAGGCTGGTCATTGATGCAGAGCATAGAGATGTCCCGGTAGTTGTAGCAACATCACTTGCAGAAAATCCATCCATGTGAGACGTGTCAGCTCCACTCATAATCTTCTTAGCGAGCTCCAATTGAGTATCTTGTGAAATATCTATATCTTGCCTTGACCAAGCCTGTTTCCCGAATATGTTGATTCCAGTGTGACAGGCCATGGCTTGAGGTTCAGGTTCAGAAAACTTAGAAGTTTGGTTGTTACCAAGGTCAAGGCTTTTCACATCATCATGAAGCAATTCCTGCAACTTAAGATCAGAACTCACGGCCTGGTGTTCAACTTGAGGCTTCAGATTTACAGTCTGAATAGCTGGCAAAGTAGAAGTAAATGTTGCAGACACTGGCTCAGATGCTTTAGGTGCCTCTACATTAATACTTGGTCCTCTCATCAATTTGAAGGCTTCAAATCCCTGCAGTGACGGATCCTGTCCAAAAGCTTTATCATTCTGCAATCCAGAATCTAAGATTTGTTCTTGCAGGACCTTTTGTCCCAGAGGAAGACCAGTGTCATCTATTGGCAAGTTACTAGCTGAAGGAATTAGAATAGAGGGAGATTGGCTCTCACTAGCAGCCGTGGCACCACACTGAAGCCCTATCTGTAGACTTTGGTCTGGAAGGTTAGGTGAATCATTTTTATGCTCTATGGGCTTCTCACTTTTCCCTGATGGACTCACAGCATGGAGATGACCTTGAGGGTTTACAAATGGGATAGGAATCTCCTTCCTTTTGTACATCTTAGCATGTGGAGCCACATCATTTGTTGCAGTAATTGGAGTAAATCGTCCCGGTAGAAATACAACACCTCTAAGATGTGTGTTGGTATCACCTACCTTAACGTTAAGGAGATATCCAGCATCAAATGAACCTTCAATGACACCAGAAACCATCTGACCTACCATGTCATCAGAGGCAGCGTCACTTGTTCCCACACTCTGCTTGTCTTTCTTCAGATTGTCAGATGCAGGAGTCAAAGGTGTGTTGTCCCCTTGAACAGTCTCATCCTTGCGTGGACGCCCACGTTTCCGCTTCATAGGTGGGTCCGCTGAAGAAGATAAGCTAGCCCCTTGATTCTGGCTGCTCATCCTGCACAAATGGATGCACGACCTACTTTATACTATCTTATTATAATTCCTTTTTGCAATCTTCCCGAGTTTACCTGAAATCACTAACGTAATTAAAACTTTTGTCATCAATATAACCACACAAGAATTGAGTGCATTAGAAAAATGGTACAAAACTGTAGTTGATCAACAATACATCAGTACAACTTCTTTTGCCATGCTAGTAAACCATACCGCACAAGAATCAAAGTATACCAAACTATATAATATCAAGAAATCCTCTAGATTATTATTAAAATAAGATTGCCCTTCGGTGAGATAGCTAAGTGTTCCCCTTGGAGGATGCTCAGGTTCTGGTCCAAAATTTTGATATTGATAAGTGCTCGATGCCATAAAGAAATTAGAGTTGTTTTAATCTTCAAAAGTGCTGGATACTGTAAATGAGTTAGATTTGAATAGCTAATATCACCTACTCAATGAAAGAGCTACTGGTGATGAACTAAGATATGCATGTCAATAAGATTGTCTACGTAATAGGTAGATTCAAGAGCAAGCCAGATGGATATACATTCAATTATAACAAGTCTGTGATTGTGATGTGATATCTTAGATAAATGCTTCCCAAGATTTAGGCACCTAAGCAGACAATATACATTTATGATAGATTATGTTGCTGGGTTTTAACCAATACAGTGACAAAACTAAACCGTCCCTAGTTTCTCTTTCTATATATAATTCATTTTGGAATACAAGTTTAGAAAATAAAAGCTATGTCATCAGGGTATTTTAAGACCTGGCAACCTCTATGAGTAAACCGATTTTTTTTTTTTTTTTGGGGGGGGAGGGGTGGTAAAATCAAAATATAGACACGATCTGCAAAGGATGGTGGACGTGTAAGCAGGACCAAGAAATTCCCATACAGATTTGATATCATGATGAGGTGCCAAAGTTAAGGCTATGGGTTTTGCTTTAATGTCCATTTTCTGCATTTTGCCTACAGCAATGTACTGGCTGGCCTTATCTGCCGTTGAAAAGCTAAGCAAATCCCAATTTTGAACCATGATTTCTTTGCCCAAGTCTCGCATCATCAAGGACATTGAGACTTGAGAGAACAATAATACTGTCATATAAATATTTTCCAACAAGGAATCGGTACTCGATAGAGCTAAAACATTTATGAGAAAAAGAATATGGGGAAAATCACAAACACCAAACCAAGGATGAAAGGGACGGTTCTAATATCTGTGCATACCAAACATAAAACCCGAATAAACCTGAAACCATTCTATAAAACAATGTAGACCAGCTTATACATTTCAAGAGGGCAACCTTCCTTTTTCCAACAAAACTAAATTGATCTTCGATCAAAATACACCCCAAATATAAAGAAAATTTAAGCCCCTTAATCATAACCCAAATCAGGCAAGATTGACAATACAAACACCCTTTTGACACATTGCAAAAATCTCATAGATTTTAAAAGTGAAAATGTCGCAATGGGTACAAACAAAAACAAAAAACACCATCCTTTTTCACAACTTAAAGAGGCAAATGAATTTAAGGCTTTCAGCTAAATTATAACCAACCCACAATCCCAAAAAATTCTCTTACTCATTTCATCACCAAAAAAAAAAAGAAAAAAGAAAATAAAAGAAGAACAAAATCACGAATCAGCTGTAGTTTATTTCATTTTTTTTCCATTAAATTTTTTTTTTTACTATTAAACCAATACTGTAAACGCAATGATAACATAAAAGTAAAAACTACAGTTTTTAAATGGAAAAAGAAAAAAATAACGTACCTGCGTTGTAGGAGAGATTCCAAAATCACCCGAGTGAAAAATGGGTGGGTGAGATAATCAATAAACAAATCCAAAATTTGCTGATTTATTAGATATAATTACTTTTTCTTTTTTGTCTTTTCCGGATTTGTTTGAGTTGCCGTTTGGTTCGCTGGATAGTGTAATAACGAAAACACGAGGAAACCAGGAATGGGCTTGAACTGGGAGTATTTCGTTGGGTTTTGCCTCACCCTTTCAAAAAATGATTAAAAGGCAATAACGGAATGGGCCTGAACTGGGTTATATTTTCACGCCTGGTGGACTCGAACCTATAATAATCGATTAGAAATGAGACGCCTTGTCCATTACGCCCAAAGCTGCAGCGCCAATTTGTACGGGCAGTTGCAGAAACCCCGGAGTGGGACGAAGAAGAGTACGTGTTGTCCACGAGACAATCTAACAATCTCACAGCCAAGAAAAATCAAAATTCATTTCATTTCTTTTAATTTTGATTTCCTTTTAGATTGTTTGTCTTTTTGTGCTTTCTTTGTCTATCCTGTAACCACAGCCATGGCTTCCTTGCTAGCCAACGGCATTTCAAGCGTCTCACCACAACCCATCTCAGATTCAACCAAGTTCCCAAAAGGGTTTTACCCAAAGCTCGATTCTGTCAAGCCCATAACCTCAAAACCCCCAAATTCAAGGCTTTTCAAGGTCAGAGCAAATGTGGGTTTCGATTCTCAGACCCTGACGTCAGATCCCAGTTCTTCATCAGGTAAATCATACGATGAGAAAATCCAGGATATTCTTCGAAACCGTGATTATAATAAAAAATTTGGCTTTACTATGGATATTGATTCGTTTTCGATACCCAGAGGTCTTTCTAAAGAAACAATTCGTTTAATTTCATCTTTGAAGGAAGAACCTGATTGGATGTTGGAATTTAGATTGAATGCTTATGAGAAATTTCTGAAAATGAAAGAACCCAAATGGTCTGATAATCGATACCCGCCAATTAATTTCCAAGATATTTGTTATTACTCTGCACCAAAAAAGAAGCCAACTTTGAATAGCTTAGATGAGGCTGACCCTAAACTTCTTAAGTACTTTGATAGATTGGGTGTCCCTTTGAATGAACGTAATCGATTGGCTAATGTTGCGGTTGATGTGGTTCTTGATAGTGTTTCAATTGCTACTACACATAGGAAGACTTTAGAGAAGGCTGGGGTGATTTTTTGTCCGATATCCGAGGCAATTAGGGAGTACTCGGATTTAGTTAGGAAATATTTGGGGAGAGTTGTGCCTAGGGAGGATAACTATTATGCAGCTTTGAATTCAGCTGTTTTTAGTGATGGGTCATTTTGTTATATACCTAAAGATACAAAATGCCCAATGCCCATTTCAACTTATTTTCGGATCAATGAATTGGAAACTGGGCAGTTTGAGAGAACTTTGATTGTTGCTGACGAGGGAAGTTTTGTGGAATATTTAGAAGGATGTACCGCACCTTTGTATGATAGGAATCAGCTCCATGCGGCTGTAGTTGAGTTGTATTGTGCTAAGGGTGCAGAAATTAAATACTCCACCGTGCAGAATTGGTATGCTGGTGATGAGAAAGGAAAAGGTGGGATTTATAAGTTTGTTACTAAGCGTGGACTTTGTGCTGGATATAACTCGAAGATATCTTGGACCCAGGTGGAGACAGGGTCTGCAATTACTTGGAAGTACCCTAGTGTTGTTTGGAGGGTGATGATACTGTGGGTGAGTTTTACTCTGTCGCACTGACAAATAATTATCAGCAGGCAGATACGGGAACAAAAATGATACACAAGGGGAAGAATACAAGAAGTAGGATTATCTCAAAGGGTATTTCAGCTGGAAATTCAAGAAACTGTTACAGGGGGCTTGTTCAGGTTCAATCAAAGGCAGAAAATGCTATAACTTCCTCACAATGTGATTCAATGCTTATTGGTGATAACGCTGCTGCAAACACCTATCCTTACATCCAGGTTTGTATGTTTGATTTGTTGGCATTTTCTTCCTATATTGAGTTAAATAATTTTGTCTTTAGTAGTTTTTAATACCTTTATCATCATGATTATATCATTTGGGTAAGTAGGTGGCTTCTCTTTCTTTCCTATTTGTTTTTCCTATTTACCCATGTAATATACTGATGCAATACTCAAGCTTTTGTAGTAATATTTTGGAGCATGCTTCTGTATGCTTTTCCTTTCTATCCCAACTCCCTGACATCTGTGTGTATTACTCTATGCCAAACAATGTTTACTCTCATAACCCTCCATGCTCGAAAATATTACTCTCTTAACCAACCATTTTTACTCTCGTTACTGTCATGACCGTGTTTACATGCAAGAGCTTCTTTATTCAACCTCCTATGAAGAAACTAGGAGCTCCATTTTGTTGCTTATGATTGAATTGCTGTTATTTAACAGGTTAAGAATCCCTCAGCTTGCATTGAACATGAAGCCAGCACCTCCAAAATAGCTGAAGATCAGTTGTTTTACTTTCAGCAAAGGGGAATTGACTGTGAGAAGGCCATGGCTGCCATGATTTCTGGTTTTTGCCGTGACATTTTCAATGAGCTTCATGATGAGTTTGGTGCTGAGGTGAACCAACTTATGAGTTTGAAGCTTGAGGGATCCGTGGGTTGAAGGCGGAGGTTTACTCAATTGAAGTCATGTTGGATAATGAAATAATCTTGTGGATAATGTTCAAGCTCCGGAGGATCTTTTTGCATATGATGACTAGTTAGCTTTAATGTATTCTGCTGTTCCTAGTTCCTAGCTTGTCTTTTGGAATACTAAAATTTACATGTTTCATGGAAATATATACCTAACCCTTCTGTGTATATACTTTTCTCTAGGACCTAGAACAACTGTGTAATATACATCGTATGAGTTCATTTTAGGCAAATTTTTTGTTTGCTGTGAAAGAGTTGGAACGAGAGGAATGGGATTAAAGTTTCTCTTTGCTACAATGACTTGAACCATGGATTTCAGTCATTTTAATTTGTCTGCATTATCTTCTATCCTTCTTCGGAATGATACTAGAATCAATAAACCATGTTTTTCTACTGATGAAGTTTGTCCCTTCAATCAAAATTCTAGATGATCTTTTGGCAACGCAAGAAAAGGAGCTTCCTTTCGTAGACTTTGATCAAATGCTAGAATCGACAAAAGAGACTAGCAAGCTTCTTTTTCTTTCTCATGCTTGTCAAATTGTCAGCTTTTCAAGAAATTTAGATAGAAATTTTTTGTCAATAATTTACTGTGAGGCCGACCATTGCTGAATGCAATTGTCTAGCCGCTTGAAAAAGCCAACCTGGGACCGTTTGGCCATTGGAGCTCGCCTTTGTAGTTTGTCCCCACTAGTAGTTTGACACTTGTTTAAATTACTAATTTTTTCTTTTCAAAGATGCTTCGTGCCGGTGGAAATTTGGTCTTTTTTTATGCTTGCCCCCTTTGACATTTGTAGCTCATGCCTACTGCAGCTGCCCCAACCAATAAACAATGTTGTCTTGTTACACCCTACTTTGAATTTTACTTCAACAGTGTGCTCTCAAACCACACGAACAGCTAAATCAAATGCAATGATATGTGCTACATTGAAGGACAATGATTTTCCTTAAAAGTATAAAACAAGAACGAAAAAGAAGAAAAATGATACAAACATATATCAAAATCCAACTCACAAACGTATTTATAGTATATTCATCACTATCATTTTAGTGATCCAGCTTAAACCAAGTATTCAGCCACGTATATGGTTCATTTAATCTGCTTTCTCCTCCTGCCTAAACATAATTTTCTAGATTTTTGGATTTCAATCCACATACAATTAGGATTAGGATAAAAAATGTTAATGTAATGATTCTAATTGCATAAAATATAAGAATTTATATACGATTATGATCAAATTATATGATTAGATCATTCTATTAGTTTAATTCTTTTTGTAATACAAGCAAGAAATTTTTTATTTTAAATTGATTTAACAGAGAATCAAGCTAATCGCATAGTAATCCTATCCTAATTTTTCTAGTCTTATTTATAATCTGATCGCAATCATGTCTTAACTTTATAATCTAGACAATAACAATAATTACATTAACAAGAGGATACACATTAGTATATAGGTCCAAATGCATTGATTTATTGATTATTACTTCATTGGATTCTATTGTTAATGATTAAATATATACACACCTAATAAACGTCAGTACCTTCGACATACTTCATGCTCACTTGCATTCATTGATTTCTTGTATTTAAAAAATCAAATTTAATTTGATGAAACCTGAAAAAAAAAAAAATATATATATATATATATTATTAATTTGCTGGAAGAGAAAAGCCTGGCGGCTGGCGTGCTCTTTCCTGAGCAAAGCAGGCCTGTTTTCACACTGATGAAAGGCCAGCTAATTAAAAACCAAATTTTCTCTTCCATTATTATTATTTTTTTCTACCAAATTAATATTAGTGCACATGTACAGCTTCATCACTGTATGACATCCTCGATTGCTTTGTTTCCCCTATAAATATTGCTTCAATCATAAGTCACATCTATCTCTTGTTCCACTCTGTCTCTCTCAACTTTCCTCGATTGTAAAACTTTTCCTGGAGAAAAAAAATGGCTCTTCTGAGGAGATCATATGCTTACTCAAAGGTGGAGAAGGAAGACCCAGAAGAGATTATTCATCAACGAGCTCAGTTCTTGGTCTACAAAGTGCTAGAACAAGCAGATTCTAGAAGAAAACCATCGTTTCTACGATTGAGGTTGTGTAGGCTAAAGGTGAAGATTGGGAGAAGATTGAAGAAGTTAAGGAAAAGTGCGTTGGTTAGTGTTTCTGCAGCTAGAGTTTGTGTTTACAAGCAGGTTATTAATCAATTGAAAACTTGGAGACGCTTGTTTAACCGTGGTGATGGAACCATTGCCAGCCTTCCACGTCCTTTGTTCACTTAAAAAATATTTCATTTTTGTTTTGTTAAAATACAAGAGTGATTGTGTTTTCTTCTTTAGTTCTTCTTTGCAATAAGACGTTTTTATTGCTTTTTTTTTTTCCTACCATCACTTGGCATTGTCTTCAAGACTTCAACACCAAAATCAAAGCTTTCCAGGCTGATATGTTTGGTTGAAAATTGAAATAGATTATTGGGAAGTCTACTTTCCTTTTTTCCTTTAATACACTCGAATTTGCATATGGGAAGAGTAATATGAAATTATGGATGACATAAATGAAACAAAAGAACTGGTTTGATTGATTCAAGCCTGATTAATGGGGTGACCAAAGAGTGTTCTCCTTTATCAAAGGATTCAAACTCAGTCCTAAATATGTTCGAAAGGTCATCAGCTGTGCATGAGCAGATTTTGGCCTTTTACAAACCCACCAATCTTTAGCTTGAAGCCATGTAACCGAAGATTGATAAGTTGAGTAAGAGAAGATAAAAGCCTGTTCCATTGATTTCTAGATCAACCCAAAAAAAGTTAGCCTGGTCAGATTGTGGTCCTGGTACTGATTCCAGCTAGGTGATTAGAAATGGCAGGATCAAGTGAAATTTATGATTGACCCCAACTGGGATTTGAGACAGCTCACATGGACTTCAGCTGCATCAGCATTTTTTTTCACATTACTGAAATGTTGCTATAAATGCCAACAAAGCAAGCACATGCAAAGATTGAAAGCTATTTCCGCTCTTTCCCATCATGCCGAACTGTCCTGACAGTACTTCCCCTCTAAAATAGTGAAGATAGAGAGTCAAATACTTAATTATTGATTGGCTCGATGCCGGTGGCCAATTGGCCTCTGCTCAACCCAGCATGAACAAACCGGCCTAGTTAATGCTCTTAAAACTTAAATGTAATTTTGCCTATTTGGGTTCCGGAATCGATCATTGGATATTCTAATTCTATCATTAAACATTTCAAACTAGCAATAAAATTGTTACTTGCTCTCACCATATTCATGCACCGCACACCTAACAAAAGCTTGGCATGGGACTTGGGACCACGTTCGGCCCCAAATTTCGTGCATCACACTGACAATCTTAAACTCAAGACTTCACATTTCATTCGGCTTTGGGCTGCACATGCTGTTTGACTGAGGCTAATTGATCATGTTACATGCCTTGTCATCACATTTTTATCATATATTCTTTGCCCCTTCTTTTAGGTTGTTTATACTTCACAATGGAGTCTACGTGTGAGCAACTTCATTGAGACTATAGTATTAGTATTCCATAAAAAAGAGTAGAATCTTGTTGTTAATCAATGACTTCAACTTTTGTTACAAGTCAATAAAGGACTTTATCTTTTTGGGGATTATCAACTTTTGTATTAAGGACTTCAACCTTTATTTTATGTCAGTTTCGCAAGAATTAACATTTTGAGCTAGTTAGTTATCCTTAGTAAAAAGCTCAAGGAAAATCAACGTTGGTCATTATTATACCCCTTAATATTTTATACAAAAAAAATATAAATTAAAATTTAAAAAGAGATCGTAGGTATTAAAATTTAAATTTTAAATTTATTATATTAAATAATATTTTTTAAAAATGATCGGATTAATAAATCTCATGTTTTAAAAAAGTTGATAAATTTTTTGTAACTGAGATAATTTTTTCTTATTCAATGTTATACATATCTAATATTTTACATTATAGCTTAATTTACTTATGGAACGTTGAATTTTTAATTTTAAAAAAATCAATTCTCAAAACTAAAATTGTTTTCATGCAAAAAAATTTTCTAAAAGTTTTCCATATTTGAGATTTTATTCATGTTCGTACCAAACAATCAGTTGTTGTTCATGTATGAAAAGAAAAGCCCAAAATTCTGTTTCCAGATTGATGGGCTGATGCTACGGAAGGGGCCGAAGGCTAATTTATATGGTTGCAAAAAAATAAAAAGTTAGGCCGAAGGTTATAATCTGATCAGTACTTGGGCTGAAACTACAGGCTGCATATGTTTCCCATGGGCTTCACTGGTGGGGTCCACTACCTGTTAATGACGTAGATTGTGCAAAGGCCAAACTGGAAAAGTTTAAATACATGAGGGGCAAAAAAGGAAAAAAAAATGAAACGTTAGTGCCTACTTCTTCTTAGGCACTGTTTGTCACGCCTTTATTTCAAACGGCATTAATCTCACCCCAGCGGCCAAACTTGTCCCGAATCGTAGAGCCTTTACTTGTTAATATTTTTCCCATTAACGTATCGTTTACTTGTACGGCAAGAGACAGAGAGAGATCGATGATCGCAGACTTTTAGCGTTCGATTCCCAAAGCCAAACAGTCCCCAACTTGCTTTTGATTTCTTTCATTTCAGCTGGTATTTCTCAATCTCTTCAATTCTCCTTTCGATTAAATGCGGAAAAAAAAAAAAAGAATTTATATGCATAAGAAAACTTAACTTTAAGTTCAAGTTTATATATGAAATTGATATTTTAGTTTTCAGTTTTTTATATATAACAAATTTATCAATGATACGAGTTGATTCAAATATATGGTTAATTGACTTAATTGAATTATTTTTAGGTGGATTTGTTTTGGATGCTGGAAATTTGAAGCTTTTGTACTTTTTGATCTTGGGAAAATTTGAAGCAGTTGCTTAGGGATAAGATATCTTGGAAATTTTGATGAATGTGGGTGTAATTGTTGGAAATTTTATGTGTTAGTGTTTGAATTTAGTGGAGAAATGAGTGTGGTAGGGTTTGATATTGGGAATGAGAACTGCGTTATTGCGGTTGCTAAGCAACGCGGTATCGATGTGTTGTTGAATGATGAATCGAAGCGTGAGACACCTGCCGTTGTTTCATTTGGTGAGAAACAAAGGTTCATGGGCTCAGCTGGAGCTGCTTCTGCAACCATGAATCCTAAATCTACTATTTTACAGGTTAAGAGATTGATTGGTAGGAAGTTTAGCGAACCTGATTTGGAGAAAGAACTTAATTTGTTCCCTTTCGAAACTTTTGAAGGTCCTGATGGTGGAATTTTGATCCGATTACAGTTTTTGGGCGAGGTTCATGAATTTACTCCTGTACAGATTTTGGGGATGTTGCTTTCACATTTAAAGCAGATTGCTGAGAAGAATTTGGAAATGCCTGTTTCGGATTGTGTGATAGGAATTCCATCTTACTTCACTGATTTACAGAGGCATGCTTATTGGGATGCAGCAGTGATTGCTGGACTAAAGCCGTTGAGATTGTTGCATGATTGTACTGCCACTGCCCTTGGATATGGAATTTACAAGACTGATTTCTCTGACTCCGGTCCAATTTATACTGTCTTTGTGGATGTTGGTCATTGTGACACGCAGGTTTGTGTTGCATCATTTGAGACTGGACAAATGAAGATTATCTCTCATGCTTTTGACAGGAGCTTGGGAGGACGAGATTTTGATGAAGTTTTGTTCAATTACTTTGCATCCCAATTTAAGGAGCAGTATAACATTGATGTTTATACAAATATAAAGGCTTCTATTAGGTTGAGGGCATCCTGTGAGAAGCTGAAGAAGGTCTTGAGTGCAAATGCAGAAGCACAACTTAATATAGAGTGCTTGATGAATGAGAAAGATGTTAGGGGTTTTATCAAGAGGGAGGAGTTTGAGAAGTTGTCATCTGACTTGTTGGAAAGGATTAGTGTCCCTTGTCACAAGGCTTTGGCGGATTCTGGTCTGACTCTGGGTAAAATCAATTCAGTTGAGCTTGTTGGATCAGGCTCTCGAATTCCAGCTATCACAAGGATTTTAGCTTCTATATTCAACCGAGAGCCTAGCCGAACAATAAATGCTAGTGAGTGTGTGGCTCGTGGTTGTGCTCTTCAGTGTGCAATGCTCAGCCCAATATTTCGTGTTAGAGAGTATGAGGTTCGTGTTTTACTTATGTGCACATTATTGCTTTTAGTATTCTGTTAGGTTGAGCTTTTACTTCTGAATCAAAACCCATTATTGTGTATGATAAAATAATTCAGAGTTTTTGATCTGTAAGCAAAAAAGAAAAAGTTTCCTCATCAGAGTTCCATTACAACATTCTTATTTGAACTCTCTCTCTTACATGCACACACTCTCACATAGTGATTTGTTGATGAACATTGTTCATGCTTAATTTTATCCCTTTTTCACTCTTTTGGAGTGAGAAATTCTTGGTGAGGATCGAGGAAATATGTTATGTAGATGAATACCAGATGTTTCTATTATGTTTATGCAGATTCCAATTGCTGTTTGCTTCGTACTATTTCAGTACTGGAATCATGGGTTGGATTTCTTCCGGACTTTACTGTCTTTGATTACTGTTGGCTTTCTTTTCCCTGCTCTTGAAGCCTCTCTAGGAGATTGCAGCTTTCTACATGTCACTTTTCTAATTGAATATCTACCTAGGAGGGAAAAAAAGCTTTATTGCATCTTTCTCACATCTTAGCCCCAATATTAGAAAGGAAAGGAATAGTTCGATCAGGTATCACACAGGTTTTTCCTTGTTCAATGTTTTGTGGGAGCCAATGAATAAAAAGCAGAGTTACATTTAGATGGTTGCATCTGTACGCAGACTGTGGCTTAATTGGGTTATTTCTTGTAAGAAACTATAACATTTGTAATATGTTGTCCCTTGCAGGTTCAAGATTCTCTTCCTTTATCTATTGGATTCTCATCTGACAGGGGTCCAGTTTGCACACTGTCAAATGGTGTGCTTTTTCCAAAAAGGCACCCATTTCCAAGCCTTAAGATTCTTACTTTGCATAGAACTAATACATTCCATATGGAAGCTTTCTATGTAAATCCAAATGAGTTACCTTCTGGATTATCACCTCAAATTAATACTTTCACGGTATGGTGGCTGTATTGGCATGCTTCTTTTTTATAGATATGTTTGATTCTTGTAAAAATATTTATTTTTAACAGTTTATCTATTTTAATAATCCCTTTGGTGTTCTGACTAATTAGTTTATTATTTTTCTTTGTTAAAACACTTTTGATATTATGGTTTAATGTTTCTTTAGATTGGACCTATGCAATCCCACACAAACATGGCTAAAGTGAGGGTCAGAGTTCAGCTAAATCTTCATGGGATTGTCTTATTGGATTCAGCTTTGGTAAATATGATTTTATCTATTAATTCTACTATCATATTGGCCCTTATTTATTTTCCAAGTAATTTACCTGAGTTGCACTCCAAATTTTATTGCATCAGCTAATAGAAGAGCACATGGATAGCTCTGTGACGTACAATGATCCCCATTTGACTTCAGAAGAGGTGGAGGACAAATCTGATAGGATGTCTTCAGTAGAAAATAATGCTGAAGTCAGCGATCATGTACAATCAGAACCTCCATCTGGTCCTGCTGTAAGTTTCAGTTGAAGTACTGCCCAGTGCATGCTTGTTGACTTCTTTCTGCATTTGCATTTGAATTGTTGCTGTTATGTTTCAAGGAAAATAGATATAAACAAGGAAGAGGAGAGCAGTGAAGTCCTTGCTTTTACTGTTTTCCTTTCAATTCAAAATTGAAATAAACAACAAATGTTTTTATGGATCCTTAGACTAATTTGATAGTCTTATGGAGTGCCTTAATAAGATGTTACGTGAACTTCTTTATCTATTGTGTCTTGACATTGATAATATTTGAACAAATATTCAAATATACCACATTGAAGAGTGTAGATGTTGAATTCAGTATTATTGTGCAGGCTGGTGTGGCAAGAAAAGGAAGCGTTCTGAAAAGGTTGGAAATTCCAATTAGTGAGAGTGTCTCTGGTGGAACAAAAAGGACTGATCTCACTAAAGCTGAAGAGAAAGAACGTTGGTTAATGCAACAGGACTTAAAGATGGAGCAAGCAAAAGAGAAGAAAAATGCCCTGGAGTCTTATGTTTATGAGATGCGTGATAAGGTATTGCTTTGAATTAACGTGATAATAGCTTTATCATACCCTCACAAGTATTGAAGAATATTGACATGGTTTCTTTTCACACAATAATTTTATAACAGAGGCAGTTTTTGCTCCATGTCTCTAATTCAAAACCAATATTATAGAAGTGTGAACAAGGCTCATACTTTTAAGTAAGTCTTAAGACTAAACCTGCTTGTTGTAAAGGTGGAGGCCCACTATTGCTTTTAATGAAAAACATAGGCCCACCTTCAATTTTAGTAGAAAGCATAAACCTTGTGATTCAGATCAAGCTATCCTATTTAGTGTATTGGGGAATGAATGTGACTGTGTAATAGTTTTCTTCCACCCACATTTCATATCTGTTTAGTTAACAGATGTGGAAAGATGCCAGATGGAAATATTGTGCAATGCAAGTGCTCTATTGTGCTTTTCTCTTGTTCTTAAGTCTCATTCTGGGAAATAGCTAAAGCAGTTACATGATTGGATGATTTATCATGAATTGATAACATGCCGTGTAAGAACCTTTTGGTGATTACCATGTACTCTTAACCTGCATTTATAATCTTTTAAAACAATATCAGCTTCTAATGTAGTCTTTATGTGGTCCAGTGCATTATGCTGCTTGTTTTCCCTTTCGTAAGTTGTGTCACATGTTAGAGTAACACAATTGTGTGTGTAGATTTTAAATGCATACCGGAGCTTTGCCAATGAGTCAGAGAGTGAAGAGATTTCTAGAAAACTTCAGCAGACAGAAGATTGGCTTTATGAGGATGGAATGGATGAATCTGAAAATGTTTATGTAGAGAAGCTTGAGGATTTGAAAAAGGTAAGCTATAACTTGATTAATTATCTATTTACCCAAGTTCAGCTCTGTAATAAAAACAACTAATTTATTTGAATTATAAAGCTTGTGGACCCTATTGAAAATCGATATAAAGATGAAGAGGCTCGAGTACAAGCAACAAGGGATCTGCTAAAGTTTATTGCAGATTATCGGATGGCTGCAGGATCACTTTCATCCATTAAGAAAGAAGCGGTATATGATTGTTGATGTTTATTGGGTCAAAGCTTTTGATATCACTAGGCCATTAGTATATAATTGTCTCTTCTCCTTGTACAGGTCATTGATGAGTGTAATAAAGCAGAGTGGTGGTTACAAGAGAAATCCCAACAACAGAATTCCTTGCCCAAAGATGTTGATCCAATGGTTTGGTCAAGTGAGATCAAGAGAAAAGCAGAGGCTTTCGAAGCGTAATACTCTAATGCTACTTATCTCTTTCTTTTTTTGGGCTATTCATGCTAATTGTCTTTAATAAAGGGATTTGATATATAAGTAAAATAACAAATATATTCCGTATTTGGGGATTATCAACAGAAGACCGTAAAATTGAATGTCAAACATTAAATGCTACCATTGATAAAACTCAGAATCTTATTTGGAGTTAGATCAAATTAGATAATTGGAAAGCCCCATCTTAACAATAACACATCAAGTGAAAGTTGTCTGGCAAGATGCCATGTTCTGGTATTTGGCTTTCATATACGTCCTGAAAAGATCTTTCACCTACACACAAATATGCCATCTGATGGAGACTTTTCTTCCCAAGGGAAGATTTTGCTAAAAGAGAATAAAGATTTGTACAAGTACTGGTTGTGGTGTATAGGACTGTACCGAGTCTACTATTATGGGAAGGGTATTTTACAATGGAGTGTCAATGGTCAGTATGGCAATTAGTGTCTACTATGGCAGTTAGTGTCTACTATGTATATTCACCGTTGGAGTCCACATTAGATACTCTTTACTTCCATTCTGATTGACATTTTCTAATGTCTCTGTAATCTAAAACCAGATTTTGGAATTAGTGATTTTTTTACTCTATATATGCTGTTAATTTATTGTTTTATTAGTTAGCATTATTTTCTACTCCATGTGTAAATTTTCTTTCTTTTGCATTAGTATCTGATGGGTTTTGATAAATTTTTGTTCAGGACTTGCAAATATATGATTAGTTCCAATGCTTCTCCACCAAGGAGGGATGATACGAATGACTCGGATCAGATGGCATGCAGTTAGATTGATATTGATATGCGTAAATTTATAACACCGAAGACCAAACAACACGTAAAAGCAACTAAACCCAGCTACAGTTTGAATGATCAAGATTTATACTTACTGATTGAAAATTGATTGGTTTATTAGTTCCACTGCATCATCTTTGGTCGAAGTGAGAGCCGACTTTGTTTATCTTGTTAGCAAGGTTGCCATCTTTCTTGATGATTGTTTAGTGAAATGATATGTTCAAATGATGCCTTTATAATTTTCATTAGCTCTGGGTTCTGACTTACATCTCACATTATCCTTTTTGGGTCCTAAACCTTTGACAGTTTTGAGGGGAAAAAAGAAGAAAGAAAAAGTCTCGATCATAAATTACAAGTTCCACATAGAGGAAGAAGCGAGTATCAAAATACTGTCAGATGTATGCACATCAGCCACTGAGGCACTGACTGCTATAGTAAATCGAAATTATTTACGTATTTCTGTTCTCACTCTTTCTCGCACAAATATACTCAAGCAGAACACAGTGGGGAACATAGTTTCCCGTTTATGAAATCAGTCAATCAATCAAACACTAGACTCTCAGCCCAGAGTCCAAGCCTACCATGCAAATTTCAAGGCTTATATGGCCCGTCGAAAAATTGTCACAACAGCTAGCAGTAAGCAAACCATTTGATAGCAGTATGAGCAAAATGACATGGCATTGCATTTATCTGGTCGTCCCGATTGTCAGGCTTGTTGTAGCGGGTCAATCAATGTTAGACCCACTTCTTTATTTATTTATTTTTGTATGCATCGCATTTGCCTTAATAGTCTCTTGAATGATCAGTTCTTAAGAAGTCTCCTTGTCTTCCCATCTGTTCAACCGCTTCCTTGTTGTCTCTACCTGAAATTTCAGCAGGAGATTGGGATCAATAACAATTCCGACCACTTTGTTAATAAACAAATTTTCACGAAAATCAAGTTCCTGCATTGCAAAAATGAAACGGATTACAAACTGATGAAACGTTTCAAAGGGACTTGCCTCTTTGTTCCAATCAGTTCTAAATGTCACCCACAACAAAATGAGGGTCTGCATCAATGTTCCTCCTATCATGCCGGACCAAATTCCCTGCTCAAAGATAAAGGATTAATTAATATTAAATATGTTTTCTCGGAATTGAATGCCTTAACTTTTCTACATTTGGCGAGTGACTTTACCTTTGCACCAAGGTCATACTTGAAGCCAAGAACACAGCCCAATGGAATCCCAACCACGTAATAGCATCCCACGTTTACATATGCTACAAATGCTTGCCATCCACATCCAACAGCCACCCCTGCATCAATCAAATCTCAATAAGAAACTTTCATTATTCAAAGCTCAAACACACAGTTAACTCCACATGATATTATACAGGCTGGATCAAAAAAATTTGTGGCTTCATGCCAATTCAAACAAAAATTCATCTATTTTATTAAACTGATTGGTGTGCACTTATTCCACTGCAGCATTAATGAGTTACATTAGCCAGTTCATTAGCAGGTGGCGAAAATTTTCTTACCGGACAAGACAGGTTGAACCCCACAAAGAATAAGAGTGACAGCCAAGAATGGACTTAGCTCGGACACTGCATTTGCCACGGTCTCACCTTCCGTAAATGCATAGCTTATTACATGCCGTAGTGCTAAAACAACGACAGCTTCCACTAAAGCAATTATGAAGGAAACCAAAGTCACAACGGCAACCGTGAATGCCGCCGACTTGGGATTTCCGGCTCCCAGTTCATTGCCGACCCTAACACTGTTTTAATGGAAACAGAAACATAATTGCAGGATTAACTTTGGGTCTGAGCTTAAATGATTTGACAAAAATTAAAGGGTGTCCATGTAATTATTTATTCGCATTAATTGATAGATCAATTTCTTTGTCTATTTTATGACCTTTTGGGGTTGTAGAATCTTTTTTTTTTTTTTTTTTTTTTTTGTGGAGAAATTGAATCCTTGAATACTAATATAGTGGCAATAATGTGACGAACCTTGCAGCTGCATTGAACCCAACTGAAACCATGAACAACAATCCAGATATACCCATGCTGCATCATGGCAACCAACATTCATTGTCAATTAATAGTAAAAATAAATAATGATTCAACTTCATTATGGTGATGTCAGTATCTGGGACCAAATGTTTATATAATCATGAAGCATATTAAAAAAAGACAAAAGGAAAAGGAAAAGTAAAAAAGTTTAGGGCGTGTTTCACGACGAATTTCATGGAAATTAGTAGCAGAGAATATATATATTCATATAGACCAATAAAAATGGAGTTATCCAACTCATGATACTCAGTCCATATACATTGGAATAATGCTCTTTGCAAGAGAGTGATGACGTTTGATTCCCTTTTTAACCTTTTCCTTGAGCAGATATTTTTAGAATGAAACATTACGTACACTATACAGACTAATTAGCAACAAAAGTGAATAAGAAGGACCAGGTAATTACTATATACAGAAAAAGACATAAAAGAAATAATTGTATTAATCAATACTACTAATTACTTATTATCTAGAGTCTAGAGAGTAGATTAACGTGCATGAATTGAATATGAACGATTTGGATTATGAAACATGCATCTACTATTTTTCCACTTTCATGGAAAAATCATCAGCTAAAAATAATTATGGTAGTTGTGCATGTACTGTTCTACTGCCTACCCTCAAAGGACCTTCGAAGGCAACCTATCCTATTGTCTTCAAGATGACGTTTCTTTACATTAAGTAATCTCTTTTAGTTTAAGAAAGGAAATAAGAAGATTAACAACAAAAGATAATTTCCAAATATTGTGTCATTACTGAGAAACTAAATTAACAAGTTAAATCAAGATTTAAAATAATAAAAAAGCTCTTGGATTAATCACTTTATTTAAATAGGTTTTTATATTTTTATTACATCTAAATAAGTTTTTAACTTTTAATTTACATCTAAATAAATTCTTAACTTTTAATTTGTATTTAAATAAATCTTAATAATTTAATTTGTACCTAAATAAATCCAAAAATAAAGTTAGCATCATGATATGGGGGAGCTAAGTATTAAGCCAATAGTAAATTAAATTAGAAGGGGGACTGAGAATAAAAATAACAGTGTCAAAATAGTAATTATAAAGCTATCAAAAATTTTTTGAGAGGGAGCCGTACCCCTTAAATTTGCGTTTAAATAAACCTTTCACATAAATCAATATTTCGTTTGAAATAGAAATTAAATGAGATACAAATCAAAATATAAAAACTTATTTTGATATAATAAACATACAGAGGCTTTTATGTAAAAAAAAAAATGATTAAGAGTATTTTAGGTATTTTAACCTCAAATTAAAAGACAATAATCATGATTACAAGATATAATGTAGTTTTAAATGATCAAAAGTAATATACTGTTCATTTTAATATCAAAGAATAGACTAGCTAAGTTTCTTACCAGATAGAAAGAGAGTCCAATGCAAGCTCAGGATTCTCCAGCAAACCAGCGATCAAGACCAGTATCTGGAAGTACCAAGTCTCCAAGCACAGCATCACGGCCGAAGCAGCCGACAATTTCAAGAAGTCCCATAGCCCAGAAAAGGCATGCAAACTCAATCCAGCCCATGTAAGCTTACACTTCTCACTCATTAAGATATACACGATCTGGCCAACCACTATAATCCACCATGACAAGCTAAGTACCAGAGATGCTCCTATCAAACCCAAACCCAGCTTGTACACTGCCAGCCAACTTAGCAGAAGGTGCACCCCAAGCGTGGCAGCTGATATGTATGCACTTGGAGTCACAATGCTTTGAGATTGGAGGAATTTTTGTATGGGGAAGTTCAAAGCGTAAGCAAAGATTTGAGGGATCAAACCATAGACAAAAACGGCAGCCGCAGATGCAACATACGTCGGTTCGCCTAGTAAGATCAAGATTGGCTTGGAAAAGACATAGGCCACCGTCAGTGGAATCCCTGTTAGAGTAAGGACAATGGTTGATCGTTGAAGATAAACCCCTAACATGTCATATCTAAGGGCTCCATAAGCTTGTCCGCATAGAGTTTCCACAGCACTTCCCATTCCTAGCTGCTAAATTGTTAGTTTTAGATGAAATTGGAATAAAACTAACAAATTAAAACCCTAGTAAAATAAAGAAGAGAAGAAGAGATATGCAAAGTACCATGAGGCCATAAGCAAGGAGTTGGATGCCGCTGTTGCCAAGAGAAGCGGCAGCGAGCTCAAGATTGCCTAGATGGCCACAAAAGACACGAGTAGATAAGGACATGACAAAGTTGATCATATAAACAAAAACCGCAGGGCCTGCTAGGCGGAAGAGGAGCCTCAGTTCAATCCACGAGGCCAATCGGAGACGCTTGCAAAATGAGAGTTCAGTGTCTGACAAAACTTTCTCGAGTCCAGAGTCCACCTCATGGCCCTGACGAGCTTCTGATGACTCGGGTGAGGGTGGCAGCTGATCATGCATGGAGTTGAGGATAGGCTGATTCAGCTCCTGTTGAAAATCCATGGTTTTCTCCAGCAAGTTCTAGCTATGGTGACACTGATTGGCCTTTAAGGAAATTGCAGGGAATAGGATTTTTCTAGTTTCCTTTTTCCTTTATATTCTTACAGGGTTTTGTTTGCACTAAAAGGTGATGCTTGATGCCGGTTGCTATGTCAGGATTCTCAGGAATAGTTGTTATTTGAGCACCTATTCTGAATCTTTTTTTCTACCTGAATGAATGGATGATAAATATCATTTTCTTCCACTAGCCATGTTACTATACACACACTGATTAGTAACTTTCTAAATTAGAAGAAAAAAAAACTTTATTACTACATTTTTGTTACAAAGTAACCTTTGATTTGACTTAAAATTTTTGTTTATTTTAATTTTTATGTAATAATTTTTTAATTAAAAATTTTATCTAATCTTGCCCATATATTTAGCTAAATCATTACATAATTAAGAAATTAAACAATTAGAAAGATTAATTGACTTGAATAAAGCAGTTCATAAATGATAAAATTGATGGTATATGTTTCAAATATTTACACTGAAAAAAAAAATGGCTGCTAGCAATTTCAATTTCTGTGTAATAGTATATGTTTTTTTTTTTTTTAATTATAGGATTATTTAATATTTGATATTCTTTAAATCTCAGTAGCATATACCACTGAAGCCTGATATTTATAGTATTGTCATGAATTTGACTACCACAAAAGAGGGGTCTTGCATTTTTTGTTTTAATTATAATTTGTAATGCAAAAATTTGTTGCAAAAGTACTCCATAATTATTATTATTATTTTTTGTGCGTGAAGGAAGGATAGAGATGTCAATTTTACCTATATCCAATGAGAACTCCAATGAGGAAAAAGAAGGGTAATATATTATAAGAATGGAGATGTGGATGTACATGATATTAAATTTTTAATGGATACAAAGATTAGGATGAGTAATATAGTATTTGTCTTAGATCTAAAATCTATATATATATATATATATATTTAGTAAATAAATTTTTTATTAAATAATATAAATTATTATTTTAGATTAATTATAATTAATATAGTTTTATTAAAAATATATATTAATATATATTTATAAAAAATACTTAAATATATCAAATAAAATTTTTTATTTTTTTTTAAAAAGCTACAGATATGGGATTACTCATACTCATTAATTATCCGCGGAAATGAGAATGTGAATAAATTTAAAATACCCTTTAAATATGAGTACAGAAATGAATATAATATAAAAATCCAAGATATGAGAATAAGGAATATTTTACTCTCCATATCCTACCCATTAATATCCTTTAAGAGAGGATGAATTCTTGATTTAATTGATTGAAAAATATAACCACAAAATTCATGTAAGTCGACAGAAATAATAAAATGTATGCATCAAGAAATAATTTTGATGTAACCTTATGTAGGGAAGTCAATGAAAGAACAAAAACAAAAATATAAATATAAATGGCAGCAAACGCCAAATGCAATCAGATCACCCATTACTATGGGGTGAATGTGAATGTGAATTTGAGATAAAAAGTTGTGATCATCATAAAAGAAAGCATGGGAGGAAATGAAGGTCTAAGAAAGTTTTCCTCATTGTTTAAGGTTCAGGGTGTAAGTTGTATGGGTTGGTTGGAATCATAAACGCAACTATGTTAGTAAGGGTTAATTCCACAACTGTAGACAGTGTGTACAGCGCATTGAATGTGAGTGGGTGTGAGGCTGTGATGTCGGCCCATCATCATTTATAAGTCTGTGCAACAAATATTGACCTCAAGTGGGCAATCCAAGGACAGAAGCCTAGCTCAATTGTCGAGTTCTTGTTCCCTTTACATACATCCATTCCTAGCTTGATAATTGTAGTTTATTGTACAAGTTTAGTGCAGGGATAGCATTTCGGATCATTTTGGTAGGAGGGATGGTTGTAAATCAGAAGGCTTAAGCAATGGATATGGAATAGGGAAAGCCCGTCAATATTTTAATAGTAAATCCAGATGCTAGCTAGAGGAATGAAGAACTACACTGCTGCAATATATTCTCATGCCACGACTCTCAAGGAATAGAGTAAAATTCTTATAAATTTCCAATCAAAATTTACATGGTATAGTCAAATACTTAATAGATACAACATAACTTTTCTCTTCTCCCAAGTTACTTTTTACAAAATATTATTACACGACATGCAAGAATCGTAGATTAATATGACCAGATACATGAACTTGAATAGACATCTGGTAGAGAGTTGCTACTGATTAAACTTTCAATAAACAGAGGTCACGGCTGCATCATAGTGTAACACAATTTCTTGAGAAGATTTTATCCAATTATCCTTGACTTACATCATGCACTTACGGAAAAAGATTGAATTAGCCTATAGCTCAAACTAGAACTGTAAGAGCATCATTAGGGCCATTGAACATGCATTGAGAAGATAAACTGCAACACATTCATTGTAAAGACCTGCGAAAGCGAGGCAAAAAACCATCAGTAAAGTTTAATAAGTTTGAGGTGTGACTTTATTCAAAGATTATTTTGTGTCAATCCTATGTTTGACCAACATGACTCCGGGACTCAACATGAATTAAACATTTAGAGTCTGCATGGAATGACAACATCCGCAGATTCCTCTCATCTCAAAGTGATTACGATATTTGAGGAGTAAAAAGGTCTATTTCTTACCACTTTGAGCATTAGTTGCTGCAGGTAGTGCAGGAATTCTGACAGCTGCATGCCAAAAATCCAGGTGAAATAAATAAAAGATGACAAGAAAGGGAAAATAGTAACATGGTAATTCGAAATTGTTTTCTAATATGGACTACCCATTCTACGAGTAAATTTGAGGGTACATACTTTTATTGCATGATGAAGCCGGCAGTAGTGACAGACTGGGCCATGGAGCAGGAATATTATCATTTAGATCGCAAATGAAACTGATTCCAGAGAACTTGTCAAATGTCGCATCAGAGGGCAAGCTTGGCAGGAGGCATCCAGATACTAGAAGCAGTGAGAAAAAAACACATGTTAGACACACCAATATTATAAATGATCAGGCGTGTGCTAGATAATCTTATATGCTCGTTTTGCACATGAAGGGTACAAACACTAGACAATGACTTAAGAGTTTTCTAGTTCCAAAACAGGCATGGTTCTTCCAGTTGTAACAACTCCCACCCCATTTTTCCTAAACCACAAGGGGCAAACAACAATATATCCAATGCTTCTCTTCCTAAAAAGAACCATCTCTAGGCAGTATTAGCTATGTTATTGCTTTCAAACAGATCTTTCAACATGATTCAAGAACCATACTATAGAAATTATAAGTCATAGTTAGAAATGATAGAGATGCTAAACTAACTTAAAGAGAAGAAAATAGGAACAAATTCCTGGTATCTAAAAGCAAATATATGCAGCCAATTCTGAGTGGAGTAAGCATCTTACCCTGACTTCCAACTGATGCATTCAAGTTGTTGGTAAGCAGTATCAAAATCAATCATAACGACAAAAAGAATAAAGAGTTAGTACCAGTTCAAATTGTCACATAAAGATCACTTCAGTTTGCTCATTACAGGTGCATCAAGCAACAAAACCAACCTTGAAGGGAAAAATCCTTGAGGCTTATGTGACATAGGTTATAAACATTTTTGGTGATATTGTATTTCTGTAGCTTCAACCCTAGTGAGGTGGCACAATCCAAAGCTTGTAAGTTGGTGATAAGGGTCTGCTTTTGCAAGTGAGAGACATAGCTATCCATAGCATCACAACAAGCTGTCTGGTTAATTATTCCATTTCCACAGCTGTTCGCAACATGCCTCATATTGGGGAAAACAAGAGGGCAAACTGAAGCAAAAGATAAAATAAGAAAAGAACTTAAATATAAAGTCAAAGATGTAACAAAAACTTCCGTGCTACTCAATATCCAAAGGGATGTTCCTATATGCATCAATTAGATGGTAATAACTAAGAAGAGAAGGTAGAGAGGTGAATCCTAATCTATGAATATAACACATTTAATGAAGAGGAAATTTACATCTATGCTTTAGTCCAAACTCACCTTTGTTAACATTGCAATTGGTTAGTCCTCTAAGAACTTCCTTTGCATGATAAGGGTCAAGTTTACTTGCCAGCCACCGAAGAACAACAGTTTTACAATCATTTACCCTTGTTGAATGCTCAGGTAAAACATGGGGCCCATCCATGCTCAAAGGATCAGAAGCTTTCAGTGCAAGTCTTGTTGCGGCATCAGATATGGCACCTTGACAAACTTGGTCACAACATTCTTTCACAGGATCAATCTTTTCACATGAAGCAAGGAGCTCAGCGGAATTTACACTGTTCTCAAATTCATCAACATCTTTTACTGGGCAAGATGCTTCAGTAAGGTTTGATGGATGAATAGAGCAAATCTGCTTGAGATTATCACCAGCACCCTGGCCCGCCAAGACTTGCTCAATATCTGAGAGGCAAGGCTTGGCAAGAGTTCTGTTTAGAGCAAGCACACCAGTTTCTTGACTTGATTGACCAACAAGTATCACAAGAGTTGCATGTAGCTGCGGACAACATATTACATTTGCCAACAACGGAGCAAATGCAGCCCAACAATCAATTGAGGTCATGCTCATCAAGCTTTGAGCAGCAGTGAAATTTAACATACAGAGTCCTAAAAAAGGCCAAGTGAAACATAATTAGACACTTAAATCCCAATTGCTTTCGTATTCCAATGTGCCAAACTATGTAAGACATACCTGATAATTTGGGAACAATACTATTTGTGAAGGGTGACAATGGAGAGGGTGCAAGAAGAGGAAGAAATGGCTGAGGAGCTGCACTCGGAGTAATTTCAGGTAAGAAAGCATCTGCTCCGCTTCCTGTTAACATATAACCTTTAAGATGATCCAGTGGGCTGGATAAACATTCATGGAAGCCTGAAATGATAGTAACGATTACTGAGATGAATATATCATACTCTTTTCCAAGACAACTCGATGATTAATATGCAAAATTTTCAGTTTTCCATTTATGCTATAACTACAAATACTTTTGGTGCTTAGGTAAACAAAGGCAAGAGGTGATGTCTACAACCTCTGACCATAAAAGGAAAGAAAAACCAAAAAAATATAAAACATATTTAAGACTTGAGAATTGCTACACTTAAGAGCATAACTTGCAAAAAGCTGAGTACGTACACCTTAAATTGTTGCTTTTTGTATTGGTCACAATGACAATGTCATTGATAAGACATGTCTCATGTCTGTTCCTCATACATCAAACCATAACAGCTCCGAGTTTTTTTTCCCACCATCTATTTTTCTCATTCTAACATCAATAAAAGCAATTTACAAAGTAGTCAAGAGATCTCAAACACCTTCTCAATGGTGTAATGTTGAGTTGTCTCAAAACGGGTCTAATCATGGTCAACTTCCCTGTAAGTGTCTCAGGTATAACAAAATCAAGATCACACATTTCTAAGCACTGTTTTAGCTAAGCTACCTCAACTGATTTTATATATAGTTGTATCCTTGTTGAAGAAGCGGTCACCCTAAATGCTTAAACAGAAAAAAAAAAAAAAGGTAAACTACTGCAAGACCTGTCTGTGGTAAGCAATTACAAAAACTCAAAATGGCAAGTATTTGTCAACAGAGAGCGGCTAAGACTACAATAAATCAGTAGCAAAGAATTAGCTAATAACAACGATTAACCAGAAGCAAACATTCCCATTCCATTAACTTTTTAAATCATTTTTTTTCAAATTAATGGACATAAGAGAGGGCCTAAGCCTAAGCATCACATCACATTTAACATAAATAACGAAGATAGCAAAAAGGTTAAACAAAGCATTCATGCTGGTAAACACTAAAATCTTACAAGTCAAAATATATCAGAATCAAAGTGCCAATAATGCAAGAAAGTAGAGGTTGAATAAGTTAAACAGCCAATGCAGCACTTTACTAAAAATTGCAGTACTGTTTTCAATCAAGAGCCTTCCCACGTAAAGTATGGAAATTTACAAACCTTATTTATTGTCAAATCCAAGAAGAATTCACTAGGCCCAAAAAATACGAAGCAAAGTTTAAGAAATCTAGGCTAACATTTCCCATACAAAAATGCAATTTTGATAACAAAGACCCACTGTTAAAACTAACAGATCATGCTAAAATAAACAAAACCCAAAGAAGGCAACAAGAAAGTAGTGTTGAAAAATCACTCACAGGCAAAACACATAAGCAACTCAAGGAGTAGCATGCTGACACTGTGCTTTAGAGACACCCCAGCACTCATGTCTTCTTTCCCTTGATAAAAATAAGGTTGCAAAGCAAGAAAAAAAACCCAAAAGTGGAAAAGAGATTAGAACAATGGTTAAGGAGTGAGGGAAGAGTGGGAATGTAAGAAAGGAAAGGAAGAAGACATGACAGACAGAGAGAGAAGAGTGCCCAGAAAAACCATGAATGAGCTTCAATTCAAAGAGTGGTGGGGACTTAATAAAAAAAAAGGAAAGCAGTGAGGAGTAATGAAAATAGCTGTCCTCTCGAGACAGTAGACCCCACAATCGAAATTAAACACCCAGATATAAACACACCCACTTGTGCATTAACGCCATCAATTGCCCTTCTTTTCCTTTTCTATCTCTCTCTCTCTCTCCTCCCTTCTACCACTTGGTTTGCAAGTCATCTTTGACAAATGTGAGGGCAATGTTTCTCGGACGTGTGAATGCTGTTTGGGTTTGTGATCTGGCACGTGGCTGTTGGTTGAGAGTTTTTAATATTTCTGGTGATGGTTCCTTGGGTATCTAACATTTTCTAATAAAATTAATTTTTGTTGGGCCTGACAGGTGACTAAAAAGGGCCTATGTCTAGCCCAACTGGCAGATTGTTTCTTAATCCAGCTCAATATATAACGGACATGAGCCCTGTGGGTTACTTATGATCCACACCTAACAACCCAAATGTCCAACATGGCATACCATAATCATCTTTATTGTAACTCAACACTGACGGTATGACATTGGCAACTTCACGTTGTCAGGGTTTTGAACTTGCGTCTTAATTCAAATGTTTTATCAACAACGATTCATATAAAAATGGGATTAGATCCCAGATCTTATAAATTCTCCCTTATTAATTACCCCTAAACTTTGACTTCTTTTATATACATAAAAATTAAAAAAAAAACTTATATTGAAAGTTTTTGAGTCCACCCGTCCACTTCTAAATCAAGTATGTACATATATGCATAAAAAAGCTTAGATTGTCAATTTTTTTTTCGGTTTTTATCATATTTTTTATCCATTAATTTTTAATTCATTCATTATTATCTGTAGAATTATCTTCTTAATTAAAAATATCATATTTATAGATCTTATGTATAAATTTTAATCAAAGTACTTGAGCACGGTACTCAACTTTAGAGGTGCAACGTGGCACTTTTTTTTTTTAATTTTTTTCAGATTTTAAAAATAATTTTAAAACTTTTTTAAGGATTTATATTCTTTTAAAAATAAGGCCCACTTTATCAAGCTTTTTTTTTATTCTTTTTTAAAAAATTATAATCACATCATTTTATTTATTTATATTTTGTGTGAATCCCATTCAATATTATAATAAAATAACTTATACTATAAGTTTTAATTTGTCTCAATTCAATATAATCAGATTTTTTTTGAAATAAGAGGTCGGTTCGAAAATAGGTGAGATTTTTTTTTTCTGAAAGTTGTGCTTGAGTCAAAGTCAAATTTTAAGTTACATCATTTTGATCCAATTCGGGTATATACAAAAAAATATTTTTATTATTTATTTAATTTTATATTTATATATTATATTAATAAAATTATTATTTAATATTTTAATTTAAAATATTAAATTAATAAAAATACTATATTTATGATTAATTTTCTGATGTTAAGTCAAAATCAAGTGTAAATATTAAAGGGGCTAGTCATAGTTGGGTTAAACAAAAATCCGTCTTGACGGGATGCTACTCATAATATTAAAGGTATGCTATGAGTTTGTTTGTTTCTTTTTAATTTTTCTGTTATTTTTGTTTTTTATATATTTAAAAAATTTATTATTTAAATTTTGTTCATGTCAGCAGTTTTTTTTTTTTTTAAGTTTTTTAATTTTTAACTTTTTTTATGTAAAATGTTTTTCTTTGTTATTTTTACTTTTAACTTTTCATTTTCTATATTTAATAAATATTTTTAATGCTTTTTAAATTTTTAATGAATCCACTTGATGATACCAATTTATTTTATTTTTTTTACCTTTTCAAAAAAATATTTAATAAATCTTTTTTAGATTTTAATTTTTTGTCTGTGGGATCTACTTTCTACTAAAAGTATGTTACGCTTGATTTAATTATTAAAAACATTTTTTTCTTTTTTAGTCTTTTTTTAGGTTTTGCTTTTTTTAATTTATGATATAATTTTTCAAAAAAAACTTATCGTTGATGATGTAGAATGACAATTCAATTTTATTCTTTTTTTGTATTTTTGTATTTTTTTCTTTTGAATTATACTTTTTTTTTTATGAGCAAAAGTAAGTTTGAATCAACTAAACCAATCAAAATTGAGTGAATTTTGTTAAATCAATTCGGTTTATTCGGTTTTAATTATAATCAATTTTTAAATCGATTAAATTGATTAATTCAATCGATTTTTTATTTTTAAAATTGATAATTGAACTAACTGAATTAATCAGTTTTCTAATAAGTAAAGGTAAAAAATTTGAGATAAATATTTTTATTTATTTTTTCTTGTAAAATATTGTTGAAATTATTAAATTCTTTAGTCATTTTAGTTTGAATAATACTTGAGTTTGAGTTTTATTGAATTGAATTTATGGTTAAATAATTATTCATAATAGGAAGAAAAATAATAAAAAAATCGATTATTTAACTAAATCGATCGAACTGAACCGATTTTGATCAGTTCAGTTATGGTCAATTATTTAATAATATTCGATCGATTCGATTATTTATTAAATGAAAGTTAGTTAAGTCGGTTATTGATTTTTTTCAAATCGAACAGACTAATTACTTACTTTTATATTTTTTAGTTAAAAAGCAACAAAAAAAAAATGTATACATATTATATGTTATTTCATTTTTTCCTTTTATTTTTGTATTTTTATATTTTTTAAGTATTTAATAAATTTTTTTGAGTGTTGGGTGGCACTCCATTACTTTCCTTTATATTTACTTTTTTAAAAAATATTTAATCAATATTTTTAATTTTTTTATATTTAATAAATACTTTTTATTTTGATTTTTTTATCAACTTGATACCAAACTTTCCTTTTTTAAAAAAAATTAATAAATACATTTTTATTATTATTACTTTTTGTGTTGGACTCAGTTGATATTTAAAGTATGCTACATTCAATATCACTTGACACTAAGTGTGTGCCATATGTTAAACCGTTTCATTTTTTATTTTTTAATTAAATCAATTTTTCACCCAAAGAATTTAATAAATAAAATTTTTAAGAAAAAATGTGAATAAAGGTATAGATATCAAAATAACCTGTATTCAATAAATTTTTATTTATTCAGATTCAATTGGTTTGTTTTTTATTTAGGATCGAATCAAATTTTTTTTAAAAAAATTGGGGTTAAATCCAATACTAGTTAAGAGAGTTTTGCCTCGCCTAAATATATATAAATATATGTTTTATTATTCATATAATTTTATGTTTATATATTTATTATATTAATAATTTTTTCAATATTTTAATTTAACAAAATCTTATTTTCTTTTCTTTTTTTTTCATTGCTCCTTTTTTTAAAAAAATCTTTTTAACTCTTTTTCATTAGATTTTGTAAGAAAAAATGAATGGATGTTGAAATGATAAAATAACTCATATATCATAAATTTCGATTCCGCTTGATTCAATATGTGTAGGTTTTTTAAAAAATTAAAACTTGATTAAGTTTTTTTCATTTTTAATCAAAGTCAAGTTGGAAGCGAGTTTAGTGCCTTTTGTCTTGTTGCCAATATGTATATATAATTATATTTTCAATAATTTATTTTATATTTATATATATTATTTTAATAAAATTATTATTTAATATCTTAATTTAATAAAAATATTATATTTATACATAATTAAAATGTAATCCATTTATCCATCAATCTATCCATCTATTATATATATTTTATTATTTTTAACTTCATTTAACTCTCATTCAATGTATTGACGTGATATCTTATATTTCTTACATTTTTAAAATTTTTCATTACCTTTTCTTAATTTTTTTATTTAGATAAATTTGTTAAAAAAAAATCTCAATGGATATGTCCCAAGGACACTCCAATTTTGGTTTTTTCTTTCGTTTTTTTTTTCACCATATAAATTTTACAACAAAAAAGTTCAATTAATAAGTAAGATAATTTATATCTGATGAGTTTCAATTGGATTCGATCCAATAGCAATCAATTTTTTTTTGTTATTTTAAAATTTATTTATTTTTATTTTTAATTAGATAAATTTTGTAAAAAATAATGTTAATAAAAGTGCTCACATTTTACTCCCATTTATTTATTTCCTTTTACATATTTTAATTTTTTAATTAAATTAATTTTACAATAAAATGAGATGGTTAATAAAGTTGGTAAAACAATTAGTATTTAATAAGTTTTTATTCCTCTCGATTTGATATAGATATTTTTTGTAAAAAAATATTGATATCGAACCAATTCGAGTCAATTTTTAATAAAAATCATGGATGTATAAAAAACGAATTTAGAATGCTTTAACCCAAACCAACCTTGTGGTGCTTATAAACTTATATATATTTTATTATCAATTTAATTTTATATTTATATATGTATTTATCTATTTTCTTGTTAAAAATTTGGCATTAAATAAGTCTCACGTACAAAAAAATATTAAAATAAAAAATTAGTTTTTATAATATACATTTTGTGAGAATAAAATGCTTAATTAAATATCATGTATCATCACTCTATTTGAGTTTTTTTTTTTACCTTTTACTTTTTTAAATTAGCCAAATTTTTCAAAAAAAAAAAAAAAAAACGAATAAAAATGACAACAAAAACATTTTGATGTGCGATAACGCATGGACTTGTACTTAATCATAATTACAATTGTATTGAAAATAAATGGCAAGAAGTTAGTTGACCTCTTCTAAATCAATTATTTTCATGTATTAATTGCTGAGTTAATACATATAATCAAGTACACGGTTTGAGCTTTATGTGTGTTTAATTAGGAAGTGAGTTGATTATGCTTTTCAGCAGAGAGCCCAATATAGGATCGATGGAAATACACAAGAGGCCTGAGGCCTGCTCTTGTCGTCTGCCGAGTATTTCAGATCATCAATAAGTATTTTTTACACAGAATCTTGGTCTTAACGCTTAGTTGCATATATGTAATTTACGGTGATTTTGAGTTTAGCACAAATAATTCGTCCACCTCTTTAAAAGTTGATTGTAACAAGAAAGAGCCGATCCCAATCAACTGCAAATTTTCCTTTCCCTCTCCTGGGTTTTGGTTTTTTTTTGTAAACAAAAATATATGTAGTTTATGGTTCCGCTTTTTTTTTTTTTGCCTTATTTTTTATCATCTTTGTTTACATTGTTGCTCTTATCGCTGTTCTGTCGTCATCACCTTGGCTCGCAAAAGGGATAAGATGTTATGGTAAGAAATGTTTCTGTGTTTTGGTTTGCCACATTAAGGATTGGCGAAAAACAGAGTTGCTGTTCTTGTCAGGTGAGAAGCAGTTTCTGGTCGTATATATATATATATATCCACACCCATTCTTTATTTATTTATTTTTTTGGATAACGACAACATCCATGTTTCGTTTTCGTGGGTGTGAACAAGTTAAAAATGAAGAATGCTTGTTTTAACTTTTAAGCAAATTACTCTAATATTAACAACCATTGAGACTCTGCACCCGTTTGCAAAAAGGCGCCCCCTATTTTGATCTGATATTTTCTTTACAAATTGAAAAAAAAATTGTGTTGGAACTTGGGTGGAAGCATGATATATACAGTAATTTACTATTTGATTTAAAAGTATACATAACCAGTTCTCGACAAGGAACAAGAAAAATCTAAAACCGACACGTTTGAATATTAATTACAGAAAAATTTCAAGAATCAGAATTCAGGATATGCACATCAACAATCCAAAATAGCCTATTCTCTATGTACAACAACCTTTAAAAAATCATGAATTATAATTTCCTACCTAATTCTGAGGTTCCAAGGCATGAAAAGATTATCAAACCCGGAGAACTGAGGATGAAAAAACTCAAATAGAATTGGCACCATCTACGACTCATCATTAACTAGTTCACCTCCGGAATAGTTTGTAGCACCGGCTTCCATGACCGGTGTTGCTCCGCCTCATATACATCTCCACCCTTGACCATCCTAGTCAGGACTTGTTCAAGAGTCAAACCTTGCATGTCCACCTTCTGTGCCAGTTCCTCTAGCTCCTTCTTTGAAATGGTTATCTTCACCTCCCTGGTATTTGCATCTCTATTTCCACCAAGCAACTTCTCCTTCTCCACACTGTTAATCTCACCATCATCTCCTTGCCTGTTAGTTGACACGAAAGACTCCCAGTCGTCATCAGCCCAAGATGATTTATCGTGTCTAATACAATTCCCCATTTCTGATTTTTGGCAGTTGTTTTTAATTTGTATCTATACGTCCAATACAATAAAATTTTCCAGGAGAAGAGATTTTGAACATAGAAGGCACAGTATTTATACAGAAAAGAAGAGAGGTGATAAGGTTCCTGGAATGACGGGATCTTGAGCCTTGGTCTTTCGTGGAAGCCTGATGGCTTTGTTAGTTGACCAAATTGAAATTAACAGGCTGTACAAGAGGGGACCCAGATGAGATGGTGATCTCAGCAGCTAAGCTGAAACAGCTTCGAGCTAGTCTGGGGCGGATGAGGCCAAGAAGGAAGCTAAGGACGACTCAACTTAAGGTTGAGGCATTGGCTAGCTTTATAACAAGCTAAGTTAGGAGGAACCCTGAAGATGCAACAAAGTCAAACCGAATTGGGAATTGAAAAGTAAAGATAAACAAATGATGAAATTTGGGGTGTGAAATGGATGAAGAGAGGCATCTTTGGATTAGAAAACAAGTGTGAACAAAATATATGCCATTGGAGTCTTTGACATGTTTCCTTCATCATCACATGGGTGCTACTATATATGTTTGCTTGCGATAATTATCGCTTTTCCTTCTATGCTTAATATTCCATTTACACATGCCTTACAACAAATTAAGAATTAGCTAATGAACAAAGCTAGCAAACAGTGAATATTCTATTCATATTAACCAGCTTGAAATACTACCAACTTGTTGAGCAAATTGTGCTAATGAAATCAAGGACGATAAACATATATATATATATATATATTAATCCAAAATTCTTCTATTTTTCTCATATTAATATCTGATCACACATAATTTTTGCCCCATGTTTTCTCTGGGATGTGCTCAATCTTCTCAGTTGCTAATTATTTGGAAAACATGGTGCATTGAATAACCAAATTCCAGGTAAGTTATGGTCGTGTCATCAACATAAAAAAGGATGGCAGGGGAAGAGAATTAATCCACGTCATTCAAAATAAATATTTCATTTTCTGTTTGTTAATCAATCTATGTTGCTTTTCTGCTTAAATTTTGCATGCAACCAACTGATTAATTGTAAGCATAGATGTCAACAATAATATACATTTTCCCTTTGCTTTAACCTTCGGACGAGTGTTAGAAACTTAGACTATATATGAAGCCAACAGGAATGGAAAGAATGTTTAAAACAATGGCCGTTCGGAATATATGTATCGAAGAGTCGTTAGATCTAGAGAACTCGAATCAGGTGCATATATGCATGACGGCAAGCCATATATATATATAGTAGCTAGACAAATTCATCTTAAGCAAAGATGACCAGAAAAGAAGGGTTAATCGATCATCATCGATGCATGCACTTTCTCCATGTGCAATTCCGTAAGAATATGATAGTCCTTGTTTTGCTAGCTTGTTGAACACTTATGGATATGTAACAAGTTGGAATCAGTGCATCACTTTCTCTTCTTGAATTCCATCATCCCCTTATGACCTAATGATCCTAACTATGAAATATATATCTTGATTTCTAATTAATGCACTGCAGAACTAATGGTCAATGCCGTGTCTGAGGCTATAGAGTTGCTTCTAGATTGCATTGCAAAACCCACCTGGTCGCTGAAAGTATCGATCGACATCAAAAGTTTATCCTCTTTTAATACGTATGGCAATTCATCGTTTACTAGCATGTCTAACCCAAGTAAGGGGGAAAAAATTAAACTTTTTTATTGAAAATTAATATATATCTATAAAATTAATATTCATTTATAAAAATTAATTAAAACAATAATTTATTCTCAGAGGAGGGATGAGAGAACGGGGACCATGGGGAATATATATAAGATCATTAGTTTCATGCAGATGAACATGTGCATATACTTTTTCTCCATCGACTTTAATCTCTTATCTTGATCACGGCTTAGTTGATTATTACTTTGACAAGGTGTTTAGCGTTACCCACCAAAAATGGTAAAACTATTTGTTGCATAATTTGAAAGGGTCGTAATGGAAATATTCAAGAGAATTGACCCTCTCCTAGGGTTGCCTAGTCCGAGTTTCTTTGTCGTCCTTGACCATTATATAACTTCAATAGTTGGTGTCTAGAAGTTTTCGTAGCAAAAACGTTAAATTTTGAAAAAAAAAATTAAGGAAAAAAATTTCTTGCTATTACTATGATAATTATAATATAATTATTTGAGCCTTGGCAAGTAAGAGGATTATTGAAAAAGTCATGCACTATAACATTATATATACTAACTGTTGATTTTCATGAGACAAATATATAATATAATATAATTTCATTTAAGATAGTCATCAATCGATGACCATTCTTGAAGCAAAGTTTCTTTTGTTGGAAGTTCGGGGAAAATGATGAAGTGGAAACAAGCTCCGGCCAGTACCATCAACTATTAAAGAAACGAAAGAACTAGCAAAAGATAAGCTAATTCAAAACCATCTTATAGCTTAGTATAAGCATAACTGCTAAGAATTTTCCTCAACCAAAAATTGTTTCTAGATGAAATTAATGTAGATTTTTTACCTTTTTACATTATCTTTTCTAATTGTCTGGGATATTAAATTTAAAAAAATGTTATATACATTTATCTAATACTAGTTTTCAACAAATGCATAATACACGTATAATTTTTATTTTTAAAAATTCAATTCAATGGATACAATGATAATATTATAAATACTAATAATTTAATTTTGATTTGATATAATATAAGTAAAATTTGATATAATTTTGATTTTGATAATCTTTTATATGTTTTGATAACCTTTGTTAAAAGTTTGATAACTTTTAATAAAATTTTGGTAACTTTTGGTACAATTTTGGTAATCTTTTATGTTAGTTTGGTAACTAATTATGATATAATTTTTGTAACCATTGATATAATTTTAATAATCTTTGATAAAATTGTAGCTTCTTGATGTAATTTTAATAACCTTTCATATAATTTTGGTAATTTATGATGTACTTTTGGCAATTATTGATAAAATTTATGCCATTGTATATGTAACAATGAATTTTTGTAACAAAATACAAGTTCTATTCTAGCATAAGATAATTTTTCTTTTATATAATAACATTATTATTTCATTCAAATTTAGAATATATTTACTAAATTTTATTATTGAATAAGTCCATCATAGGTTTATCTAAGCCTTTTAAGATAAAATTTCTAACTTCATTTTTGCTAATAACTAAAGTTCAATCCCTTATAACTTCAAGTATAAAAAAAGTTATTAATGATTGACAATTAAGTTATCATTTATTTTCTACTATATTATCAATGATCTACTACTATGATATCAATGATTTACTTTTTAATTATCATTGATTTACTACTAATTTATAAATGATTTACCACTAAATTATTGATGATTTACTATTAAGTTACTGATAATTTATTATAAATTATAATTGATTTTTATTAATTTATCGATAATTTATTATAATATAAATAAAATTTTAACCTTGGTACTTGTCATGTTTTCTTCTTAAGAAAATTTCAATTCTTATAATAACAAACTTTTTATATATCAGCTATATAATTTATAATGATTTTATTTTTAGTATTAACAATATTAATTTTCTTGAATGAATGTAACTTTAGCTTAAATAAATTCAAAAAATAGTTCCAATGAATTTTGTCATACCTTGAAAGAATTCACAAAAAATAATTAATCTTACTTAATTTGTAATTCTCTATTTAAAATAGTTCACGTTAGGTCATTCAACCACCTAGATGACCTAAAAAATCAAGTAATTTAATATAATTGAGAAAACTAAATTATCTTGAGATAGAAATTAGTCAAAACATACAATTTTAATGATAATTTAGTCTTGAGCTATTGATAATTTTAACGCCTCCTTAATCATCTAATTCTATGTTGGGGAGTCCAATTAAAGTGTTCAAGGTGTTTAATAAATCACATAATGCTAATTGTTGGTAGAGAGTGTGCAATTTATTTGCATTTATTTTTATATTAGTTTTTTCATTGAAATAACAATTATAAAATTCTAGAAGAAAACAATATAAGAGAAAAATTAATTATAGAGGTTAGGCTAAACTATAATAATAATATATATTAAAGAATTATTTCAAGAGATTAAAACAATTTAATTATATTATCAATGATCAACTCATAAACATACAAATAATAAAATCATTAACATACATATATCGTTAGCAAATCAATTAAAACAAAAAAATTAAAAACAAAAAGAGAAAAAAAAGTACTTCAATAAATTAATTATGATTATCTTTAAGGAATATATTTGTCAACATAATTAAATGTGTAATTGTATTCACAACAATAAAGAAACAAATTTCATATAATTATCTTATTCTTATGTGCATTACTAAGTTTGATTTTATTCTATTTGTATTTTTATTTGAAGTGAAAATTATATTTTGTGTCATAATATGAGTCTAGTTATAAAAAAAAGTGTAATAATAAAAAATAAAATTTATTTAAATTGAAATTTATAAAATTACTAATGGTATTTAATCAATCACTTGTATATTTTTAAAATCAAAATTTTATTAAGATTATTTTAATCATTAACTTTTAACATTTTTTTGAGTTCAATTATAAAACAAAGAATCTAACAATAAAAGAAAATTTTTTAAAATTAAATTTTATAAAAAATTTAATAAGGGTATTTTTATCCATCACTTTTAACACTTTTGAAATTAAAATTTTAAAAATTTAATCTTTCATAAACTTTAATTTTAATTTTAAATTATTTAAATTAAACTTAAACAAATTTAAAAAGTTATATATTGAAGGATAAATTTGTTGATTTTAAAATTCATAGAGGTATTTAAGTTGATCACTTTTAATACTTTTAAAATTCACACTTTTATATATAAATTAATAAATAAATGATATTTATTCCACACACTTATATAATATATAAGTTTTCAAATTTTTATTACAATTTATACAAATTTTAATACTTTTCACTTATATCTCTGATATAAGAATTGAGTATATGAAATATGAGTATTTTAATTTTTAATTTTAATTTTTTTATGTATGTGATTGTATTAAAATTTTTAGAAAATCTTTATGATTTTTAAAATTTTCTTGCTTTGTTATGCAATTTCAATGGTTTTAATTTTATAGTATTTGTAATTGTTGAATTCTTTTATAATTTTTGTAATTTTTAAATTTGGAAGAATTATAGATTCAAAAAGAAAAAAAGAGAATCAAAATTTTGGTTTCAATTTTTTGATTATTTGGTACTTGAATTTTTACAAACCAAATATTTTGGGTATTTGATTTGAATTTTTGAAAAATTTTAGTATTTTTGAATATCTTATTTAATTCTTTATAAAAATATTTCTTTTTTTCTCTTTCCGCTCTTTATAACTTTTTTATCTTTTTTTTTATTTTAACTTTGATAATTTAACATTAAAAAAATTAAAATAATAGTATTTGAAACAAATTTTTTTTGAAAATACTATCATTTATGATCAATATAAAAACAAACAAAAGTCAACCTTTCTTATATATTTAACCTAAAGGAAAAATTAAAAAAATAATAGTTTTTTAAAAAAGAAAAATCTATACTACTTTGTATAAAAAGGATACCAATGGATCTTTGGATTGCCAGATGTCCTATTTTTTATATTTGGTTTTCCATGGTTTTTTTCTCCTTTCTAAAGATTTTTTTTTT